TAGAAGTGTTAAGTGTGGAAGTGAGTTTACTTGTAGGCTGTGGGGTCCAGCTTCCTACTGAAGCATGTTTATAACATGGGTGGGTGGAACGTTCTAAGGCCAGTCTATAATGTTTTCAGTATTTGGTCTCAAAACAGGGAAGGGTTTGTTAAGGCAGGCTGCATAACTCAAACGAGTCCATTCAGAAGTACCCCTAGCCTGAGTAGCAGTCGTTGGTCATGTATATTTTTACCGGCCGCGCAAAGGGAACACGGCACCTGGCACGCAGGCTAAAGTACCGCAAACCAGTGAATGATTCAGATATCGACTACTTCCAGTGTACTTCCCGTTACAGCATTTACAGTATTGCCTAGTCTTTGTACGGCGTCTTCCCAGGCCTTCTCGGCCAATGCATTTCGAGACGAACGGCCCACGTGACCCGAAACGCATTGGCCGCGGGAATAAGGAGGCCTAGGGACTAGGCAAATTACAGTATTGGTGTCAAGGATGTCATATACTTCGGACATCCAGTCTGTGATGAGAACAGTCGGCTCTGTCTATAACATGAGGGCTGACTATTATTTTGTAACTTTATGTTTTCAGGAAAACTCATACCTATTCACTAAAACAAACAGTAACACAGTTATTAGTGAACTGATCAGTGACGATGACCAGGACTCCGCCACAGATGACTTCCCTCCTGCCGCCGCTGTAGCGTTAGCTGTGTGTTTAACAGCTGTTGTGGTGATTGTTGTTGTTTTTGTGTGGAGAACCCGGAAGTCAAGACGAAGACCAGAAGCAAGAAAACTTCTCTATGTTCCCGGACCACACAAACCAAGGATTTGAGTTACGGGCGCGCTAATGTAGAAATTATCTTTTCAGCTGTCCAGAGCGTTGTTTTTGGTTCAAACTCTCTTACACCTTGCGCCCTCGTGGGAGGCAATGGAAAGAGAAGGGAAAGGCGTTGAATCGGGCGCTTCGCGCTACTTGTGCTCACTCGCTTCTTCCGCTCCGCGTTTTCTCCATACATCTCACGTACCTATAGCGACCACGTCAGTGAGAACTCCGTTTAACATGAAGGCTTAATTGCCTCTGCAGATACGGTGTATAATTCAATCCAATTGTGTGCCATTTCTATAAATCAACGGTGATGTCAAACGATAAAATTCTTTAAAATGCGCGCAAAGACGGGACGATTGGTTATCCTTCCTCAGTTTAAACTTGGATTCAAAATTAGGCGATAAATTAGATTAGTTTGACAAGCTTGAATTTAAAGATTCCAGCACGTTTTGACCTAAGTATTATAACTGAACAGCCCGGCACTTTTCAGACATGCTGAAAGAACTAAAATGGTGTACTTTAGAAAAAAGATGAAAGAAAAAAAAAATTACCCAACAGTGAAACAAAGAATGTGTGAATGTCAAACCGGTGCAATAATTATGAGGAGTGGTGGTGGGGGGGGGAAAATTGGGCTCACATAGAGTAATATAACGTCCCCTCCGAACAAAGGCAAGTTAACTCTGACTCCCCCTTCTCTTCACTTAAAAATTATCACTAACCCGTGAACCCCCCCCCCCTCCATCCCTCTTTCCCCCCGCTCCACTTATATTTACATGAATTTACTCGTTTCGTAATGTAAGGTTTTTCGCTGTTTTCCTGTGGAACAGTACCTCAACCTACTTTCGAAAAAGCCACCATTTTAGAACATTCCGATTGCGCATCGTCTCCACGATCAAGAAGGCCGGAGGCATCTTTGTTAGCCGCGATTTGCACAGTCTTCACGTGTCCTGAAGGTCACATGACATTTCCTTTGGGCTAAAAATGTCTGTAGACTTAAGGGTACGCTTTATGGAATGTACACATCGTTCCATATGGGACGAACACGACCCTAGTCGTCCGAAAAGGGTTAAACGGAACGTTTTTGCAACAGAAAAGCACTAGATCTACAGAGGACGTCAAGCTTCCTTATCAAAATTTTCCATAAATTAACCACGGACTTGATGGGAAAATTCACAGGACAAATTAAAAATGCAGTACCTAGTTAAGAGGGTCAAAATTGCAAATTTTTCACGACTTCATTGTCTCGCAATTCCCAGAAGAGACTTGAGCACAAAGAAAACAAAACCAAATGTAGAAAAATGACCAGAAAGTCTAGGAGTCATGTTAGAATTTCAATATATCGAACGTGGGCTATTACATGTATAAAGGATTTATTATGAGGTCAAAAATAGAACTTTCTCTTGAGCAGCAAACGCGGGAAACCCCGAGCGGGCACAATACTCTCATCGTGACCGCTCGGAAAACCACTCAGGCTCCGTTTATATGAAGAAAGGTTAGGCCCATAACCCTCCAGGCAGTGCCTACTTTTGGGGGGGTTTTTATAAGAAAAACGTTGACCCTTTTGCCCGGACCAACAGCTCTCGCGCATGTTCTAATTGTCCCGCCTTGACTAAGTTGACCTGGCTGGGCAAGCTGGAGAAAAATTGACCCGGCTAGATGGGGTGGCCAACAGGTTTTTCGGCATCCGGGATTTCCCTCATTTGAAGCTCGGGATTCGTGATTTCCCCTTATTTTAAAGCTCTGGATTAGGGATTTGAAAGAAAATTCGAAATTGAAAATATGCCCGGGAGGTAGAATACCAAAAATAACCCTCGGGATTACGGGATTGCAGGAAATTGTGTCGAGATAACGGAATAGAGAGGAGAAGTGTGACGTCAGTTACCATGGCAGCACTATTTCTGGATGAAAACAAAACCCACGACGACGACAGCGACAAGGAGAACGGCAAAAAAGTTATCTTTTTATTAACAAAACAACAACTTTGCACGTGCATCACGCTATTTTGTACATTTCTTTGCCGTCGTTGCACCACTGCGACATAAATCTTCCTAATTTCACACGCTCGCTTTATGGAGTAGTTGAACACAACACAGACGTTGTCTTTTTCTTTTTCTAAACTAGCTGCTTAGCTACGGTCCTTTCGGATTCATCCCGAGAAAATTTCGCCAAATATCCTGACGGGATACGGGATTTGACCGTTACTCGGCAACCGGAATTCGCCAAAGTCTTGGAACGGGATGCGGTGTTAGGGAAGAAAACGGTGTTCGGGATTGAAGTGACATAACTTCAAGATGCAGGATTGTTGTGAAAAAGAAGCGGGAATGCGCGATTGGGAATACCCCCCGTTCCGGACCCTTGGTCTGTTGTTTATCTTTAGATCTTCCCTGCAATAAAAAATTAAACAAATCCATAGCTCCCACTTTAGTCAGAACGTGCGTTCTCTTTTCCTAGTTTAATCTCTTTGTGAGGTGAATGTATGCTGACTCTATTGCTTTCTTCCAGTTATCAAAAAAGAGTTAAGTTATAATTATGGCAACGGACTCACAACTATAAGCACTGCTTTCGTGTTCTCTCCAAACATAATTTAAAAAGTGGATTTAAATGTGTGCCGTAAAGAATCTAGAGAGGCGTTGATGTCTCCGAGGGAAAACTGCGTGGTGCTAAGGCTCAGATAACTATCAGCAGTGCTTGCGTGTTCTTCTTCAAATAGTTTAAGGCGGATGTCAAGTGCACGCTGTGCAGAATCTAGTGCTGCTTTGAAGTTTCAGAGTGAATGTTGAGTGATGCCAAGGTTATTATAAATATCAGCAGTGTTCGCATGTTCTTCTCCAAACACTTTAAGGCAGATGTCAAGTGCATGCTGTTTAGAATCTAGTGCCGCGTCGAAGTTTCCAAGTGAATGTTGAGTGATGCTAAGGCTATAATAACTATCAGCAGTGCTTGCGTGTTCTTCTCCAAACAGTTTAAGACGGATGTCAAGTGCATGCTGTTTAGAATCTAGTGCTGCGTTGAAGTTTCCAAGTGAATGTTGAGTGATGCCAAGGCTATAATAACTATCAGCTGTGCTTGCGTGTTCTTCTCCAAACAGTTTAAGGCGGATGTCAAGTGCATGCTGTTTAGAATCTAGTGCTGCGTTGAAGTTTCCAAGTGAATGTTGAGTGGTGCCAAGGTTATTATAACTATCAGCAGTGCTTGCGTGTTCTTCTCCAAGGCGGATGTCAAGTGCATGCTGATAGATATCTAGTGCTGCGTTAAAGTTTCCAAGTGAATATTGAGTGTTGCCAAGGTTATTATAACTATCAGCAGTGCTTGCGTGTTCTTCTCCAAACAGTTTAAGACGGATGTCAAGTGCATGCTGTTTAGAATCTATAGTGCTGCGTTGAAGTTTCCAAGTGAATGTTGAGTGATGCCAAGGCTATAATAACTATCAGCAGTGCTTGCGTGTTCTTCTCCAAACAGTTTAAGACGGATGTCAAGTGCATGCTGTTTAGAATCTAGTGCTGCATTGAAGTTTCCAAGTGAATGTTGAGTGATGCCAAGGCTATAATAACTATCAGCTGTGCTTGCGTGTTCTTCTCCAAACAGTTTAAGGCGGATGTCAAGTGCATGCTGCTTAGAATCTAGTGCTGCGTTGAAGTTTCCAAGTGAATGTTGAGTGGTGCCAAGGTTATTATAACTATCAGCAGTGCTTGCGTGTTCTTCTCCAAGGCGGATGTCAAGTGCATGCTGATAGATATCTAGTGCTGCGTTAAAGTTTCCAAGTGAATATTGAGTGTTGCCAAGGTTATTATAACTATCAGCAGTGCTTGCGTGTTCTTCTCCAAACAGTTTAAGGCGGATGTCAAGTGCATGCTGATAGATATCTAGTGCTGCGTTGAAGTTTCCAAGTGAATATTGAGAGGTGCCAAGGTTATTATAACTATCCGCAGTGCTTGCGTGTTCTTCTCCAAACAGTTTAAGGCGGATGTCAAGTGCATGCTGATAGATATCTAGTGCTGCGTCGAAGTTTCCAAGGGAATGTTGAGTGATGCCAAGGTTATTATAACTATCAGCAGTGCTTGCGTGTTCTTCTCCAAACAGTGTAAGACGGATGTCAAGTGCATGCTGTGCAGAATCTAGTGCTGCGTTGAAGTTTCCAAGTGAATATTGAGTGTTGCCAAGGTTATTATAACTATCAGCAGTGCTTGCGTGTTCTTCTCCAAACAGTTTAAGGCGGATGTCAAGTGCATGCTGATAGATATCTAGTGCTGCGTTGAAGTTTCCAAGTGAATATTGAGTGGTGCCAAGGTTATTATAACTATCAGCAGTGCTTGCGTGTTCTTCTCCAAACAGTGTAAGACGGATGTCAAGTGCATGCTGTTTAGAATCTAGTGCTGCGTTGAAGTTTCCAAGTGAATGTTGAGTGGTGCCAAGGTTATTATAACTATCAGCAGTGCTTGCGTGTTCTTCTCCAAACAGTTTAAGGCGGATGTCAAGTGCATGCTGATAAGAATTTAGTGCTACGTTGAAGTTTCCAAGTGAATGTTGAGTGGTGCCAAGGTTATTATAACTATCAGCAGTGCTTGCGTGTTCTTCTCCAAACAGTGTAAGACGGATGTCAAGTGCATGCTGTTTAGAATCTAGTGCTGCGTTGAAGTTTCCAAGTGAATGTTGAGTGGTGCCAAGGTTATTATAACTATCAGCAGTGCTTGCGTGTTCTTCTCCAAACAGTTTAAGGCGGATGTCAAGTGCATGCTGATAAGAATTTAGTGCTGCGTTGAAGTTTCCAAGTGAATGTTGAGTGGTGCCAAGGTTATTATAACTATCAGCAGTGCTTGCGTGTTCTTCTCCAAACAGTGTAAGACGGATGTCAAGTGCATGCTGTTTAGAATCTAGTGCTGCGTCGAAGTTTCCAAGTGAATGTTGACTGGTGCCAAGGTTATTATAACTACCAGCAGTGCTTGCGTGTTCTTCTCCAAACAGTTTAAGGCGGATGTCAAGTGCATGCTGATAAGAATTTAGTGCTGCGTTGAAGTTTCCAAGTGAATGTTGAGTTTTTGCAAGGTCTTCGTAGTACGTTGCAAGTGCTTCCTTGTGTACCTGGTACGAGGGTGTGTTTTCACTACAGCGATCTAGAGCTTTTTGATGGAAACTAATTCTCATTTCACATAGTAATGTGGTATCTTCCATTTTATCTAAAACAGACAGAAGCTGCCTATGAAATTTACAGACACCTACGGAGATGTGCTCCTCTCTTTCGATCTCGCTCAGCATCTCATGTAAAATATTTGTGAAATGTTGTTTAGTGTCAGCATCAAAGAGATTCTGCATGGTCTGGCTTACAACAAAAATCATTTCCAGTTTTAAAGGGTTGTCAGAAACGCCGATAACACCTCTTTGATTTTCTGTCACATTGCTAAGTTTCCTTCCTTTCCCTTGTTTTAAAGATAACAACGGCAGTTGGTCTGTATCTTCCGCTGCATTGCGAGGTAATTCATTTAATTCCGTCGAAGTCTTTTGAAATGGGGAAAATATTGCAAGAATTTGAAGAGTAATGAGCCTAAGACTTTTCTGATCTGGACTGCCATTAAACATCTGAAGAGCGTCTTGCAAATTCCGAATTCCATCTTCCGTATTGCCGTTAACAAGATGGTTGATACCTAAATAACACAGACGTTTTCCTTGTAGTTCTGACAAAGAAATTGAAGGCAGTGCTTCAGCTTCAGCTTCCTTTGCTCTACAAAGTAACTGCACCGTATTTCCCCTTGCACCCCAGCATACTTCTGAAAACGCCTTTGAAACAAGTAATCGACTGTAAGACTCGTTTGTTTCAAATCTCTTCGTAGCCTCAATTGCTGAATCGTATATCTTGTTAAAGGTTGATGCTTCATTAAAAAAAAGAGTAGCAAGAAACAACTCTCCCTTAGATAACACATCAAAAACAGTGCTAGCTGTCTTCGCATTCGCAAGCCTATTTAAAAGGCTTTGAATAATACTTTGCTCATCTTCATAGAATTTAAGAAACGCTATCATTGAATGACCAGTCAGAAACTGCTCATTTAGCTTGTGAAAAAGGGACACGTAAAACGCGTTCAATCGGTCCTTTGATTTAAGGACCGTGTCTTTCATTTCATTTCCTCCTTTTTCTCTTGCAAATGATTGTAGCAGCTTGTGCATCGTAAATACCTCTTGTTTCACATCTAGATCAAGAAGGGACTTCCTCCGAAGGCCGTGCAATAACTTCTTGGCCTGAAGATTTTTTTCGTCTAAAACAACAGCAGCGACCTCCGTACCAAAATTCTCTGGAAGAATACTCAATGACACTAGTGCTTTTTTCTCCTGTGCAGTGAGCCTCTCAAAAGATAACTCAAAAAGAGACTGTAATCTGTACTCGTCTGGGTAATCTGGCCTGTCTAACATCTCGGCGATACTCGCTGTGGAGGCAAACTGCATGAATTCATCGAGATACTGGCTTGGTTCAGCCTCACCTTCAGAAATTGAGGAACACAATAACTTTATTGCAAAGGGTACAAATCCACAGATTTGCAGGATTCGTGTACAGTCTGAAGAACTTGCTGTTGGAAGAAGGGCTTTTACTAAAGTCTTTGCAGAGTCTTCATCCAATGGTCTGATTCTTACACTCTCGTGACCTTGCAAATCCACACTCAGAAAACCTAGCGATTCTCTTGTTGTTAAAGCAAATATCGTCGCCTTACTTCGCCTGAGAATTTCTTTTAAAAGTTCTATGACCTCTTTCTTCACGCCTGGCTCGCCATCTTCTAATAAATTATCAGCATTATCAAGAATAAAAATAGATCGATCGGAAATTTCGCTTAAAAGTAGGCAAAGCTGATCATCAAGTGTTGGATACGACGAGGATAGATGGTCATTTCTGACAGATGGCTTAACAAAGCTTAGAAGCTTTGAAACGAGATCTGTTTTGGACTTTAGTTCACGTAATGAAACCCAACAGACCGGTAGTCCTTTAGACTGGAGATCGTGTCCGACTGCAATCGCAACCGATGTTTTTCCGAATCCAGGTGAACCCCAGATCGACATGAGCCGAGTAGATTCAGAAGTCACGTAGCTCGTAATCTCCTCGCATTCGCTTTGACGTCCAGTAAAATTAGGAACCATTGCAGGAAGAGAAGGTATGGATAGCGATGGTCTCAAACCTGTAAAAGTAAAAATCTGTTTTCGTATTTTTAAAAGTGACATAAAAGCAAAATAAAATTCGCAGTCCTTTCAAACCACTACTCGTTCCTCTAACTCACAGCTCTTTCTTTTGTTTATGCCTACCGCGTGACATAGAAAGAAGTTAACATATACCTGTCTTCTTCACGTTGATCTTGTGCTACTTGCGATACGTGTGGTATCATTGGATTCGATTTTTTTTTAAACACGCTATCGCGTTTGATTGCTTTATAAATCCCAACAAAAATTTCAGTCCCCTGGTTGTCCATTAAGAAGTTAACCTACCTGTAGACTTCAATTTAGCTTCACTTTCACGTTGGGCCACTTGCAACTTGGCGATCTTCTGCTCTAACATAGCGATGTCTTCTTTGTTAGAGGTATTGTCAACGGTTTGCTTAACAGCATTTAACAGCGTCTTCATCTCTATGACATCTGAACTCATTTCCTCAAGGAACTTGATGTATTCCCGAGTCTCTTCTCTTATACTCTTTTCCAATTGACGAACCTTTGTTGTGGGGAAGTCCGACTCCGTCAAACTACTAAGTGCATCGATTGGAGCTGTTGGAACACCAAGAGCTTGAAATGCTTCTTTGGCGTAATTCACGCGCTGGTCAAATGTCGCTTTGTCCATCTCAGAACTGGTGGAGTGACAGAGCGAATTTCTTAGAAGGCGGAGCTGGTCAATCGCAAGTGCAAAGGTCTGCGCCATGTTTCCACCCGGGCTGACCACACATGCGTGGAAACTACCATAAGGTACTGCACAGGGCTTTACGTACAAATCACTGAGTCTGGTGAAAGAGCCTGTACTGGCTGGCAAAGCAAAAGACCACGCAAATATAGTAGCCTGAAACAGACTGGTACAATCCCATTCATTGTATGACAGGAGAACAGGAACTTTAGTCTTCTTGCCACTTTTTGCTTCTTCACAGTCGAACATATTTCTAACAGCAGGGGAATCATCCCAGAGCTGGAAACCAGGGCGATGTCCATAGGTATTGTCCCACATGGTTTTAAATGTCTTCCGCAAGATTTTAGGGAATTCATTTAACACCAAGGACGCAAAATTAAAGAAATTTAATTGTTCGTCACTGAACGCCTTCAATGCCATCTCAGGAGTCAATATTGGCCTAGAAAGGTGTGAAGTGTTCTACAAGATAAAAAAAAAAAAAAAAAAGAGTTGCAATTTTAATATGTTAACTATGTAGTCTGCGTAGCAAGCGCGCGTTTCCGATGAAGTTATTGGACGAAAGTTAAGGCAAGAGCAATTTCTCGAAAAACTCGCGTGGAAAGGCCTGCTTACTGCTAAAATTATTTGCGAGAGGCGGACTACGAATAACTGGCTAGCCAGCGTGGCAGTCGTCGAAAGGGACTGGGAAAGAAGGAAAACGGAGAAGAGACTGGGGAGAGAAGGGATCTTTTCTTCTGCCTTTCACGCTTTTCTTCCCCTCCCCTCCCCTCCCCTTTTTTTACGCCAGTCAGTCTACAAAAATACTGAAGATCACTTGTTAAGAGGGGCTGGGTTTGCTGACTGAGAGAAAACCATTACCTAGCTTTCACCCGTTAGCTTTGATACAACATTTGCATTTTTATTTATCTCTTTGAAATCTCTCGAACTGTTTTTTTTAACCTGTAAAACAAAGGACTAAGGCAAGAGCGTCTTTTTTATCAGTGAGCTTCAAATGGCGATCAAAACAACATTGCGTGACAATTTGTTCAACCGTGATCGCGTAATCGCGTGATCGTGTGATCATCTGCAAACTATCTTGCCTGCGTGCACACGTCTCCTATTTCCTTTGTTGCACGCGGAAAAGGAAATAGGAGACGTCTGCACGCAGGCAACAAACTATCGTGTACATAAAGACTTCTCAATGACTCGTACTAAACAAGTTAGAACATTTCGCATGCTTTTTACGTCGCTTTGAATCAATTCCAAGCATTTTCCTTAAAGTTTTGGAAGTAGAAATAGGGCGAAATAATAGCGTGATCACTGAACACCAACTGACGTCAGGTCATATTTGCGACCGCCTTGAAGTGTAAAAACCATGAGACGGAAAGCAACCAAAGAGTAAATTTCCATGAAATCCACTGAGCAAAGCATTAGGAATCAGTTACGTTTATTTTATGTTCTTCCCCTTTTGAAGGAGAAACTACTAAATTAGTTTCGCAAGGGAATTCAGTTTACTGAGTCCCCCGTGGCCATGAGGGCATGGGGGCTTCAGATCACGCCAAAGTCTAATATGTCACCGGTTATATCAACCAGGTAAGACTACTGAATTAAGAAAAAGAGACAAATCTCATTCTTTTCGTTGTTTCTGACGAAAAAGGTAGCACAGAACTACTGTAGATAACTGACATTTCCATTTCACAAATGGTACTATTAAACTCGATCTCTTTCTCAATAAATCGATTTGAGCATTATGAGTTGAGGCACGGCCCCGGAAATCAGTACATTCACACTCTTGAGTAATGGTTAGAACATACGACAATGTTCCTAATAAATAATTTCATGATTATCTTTCAACTTATGCGCTCGAGCTTAACTTAACCAAGTTTTTCTGGAGAATATTTTTAACAGTAGTTGTACAGTTCCACGCTCTTCATTATTTCTTAGACGAACTTCGTTGGTTTTAATGTGAGCTAATGTGTTTGTAAACAAGTTAGTTTACGCGATTTTCTTTGGACCAATTTCTGCAGTCAAAGGCTTTCGTTTATATATGTTGTAATTGCTTGAGTTCGATCCAAGGTTTGGCCATTATTTATGGAGACATTTACTAAGTTTCTTTCTTGAATGCAGGTCTTCGTTCTAGGGTACGATGCAACAAGCTCTGCAGCTGAGTGCGAGCAGATTGGATACTTATACTTAAAACTTAAAATTACCTACCTTCAAGACATTAAAGGCAAGTTAAAAGCACAATATCAGTGAGCTGATTGATCCCTTGGTTGTCGTCGTTGCCGAGATTAGGATGAAAAGCCTCAAGGAATAGCTACTTTTTGTTCTGATGAGTGAGTCTAAGTAAATAAACGGGTTTGTCCCACAGGAAGTTACAAAATTCCACAGCTACTTATGTGGATTAGTCACGAGTTCCTTCCAAAAATAAAACAGACATTTCTGACATCGTTGGTCCATCATTGCTCACAATAATTGGCTGCATGTTATCCAAAAGTAATATGATTCTCTGTGTAAAAAGAAAAATGAAAGTTCTTGACACGCTGTAAAGGGTAATCTTCTGATGTACAGTTAAATTTTTCCACGCTTTTAGCGATACTCGATTTAAGTCGTGTTAGCCCCAGTGACTTATGAAAATATTTCCGTTCACTACAAATTCTTTGAAAATAAACAGAAAGCCTACTACTAGAAGTTGTTTTGGCAGTCCTCACTTGTCGCACTGGGCTGCAAAACAGTCATGCATTTCCGGGTCTGATCCACAATCTTAAGGTAACACCCCCCCCCCCCCCAATACTCCTAGCAAAATCAATAATAAAGCCGCAAGAAGGCCAAAACGCGGCATTTTCCCCTTCTTGTTTTTTTTTTTTTGGGGGGGGGGGTCTAAATAATCCAGCATGATGGCAACCTTGAAAAGAATAGAATGGAACAGTAGTCCCCCTCCCATCCCCCTGAAAACAAGGATAAGGTATGTGAAAGCCAAAATATTGGGGGAGATAAGGGGTGATGTAAATGAAAAATGTATCTATTTTGTCCAAAAACAGCTCCTCACAAGGTTGAAATTGGGAAAGAGCATTCTATCCGGGGTCCCCTCATTAGACATCCATGGCATTAGGCCACTTAGGGGGTAAACAATGCAGGTAGACAGTAGACTGCAAACACAGTCAGTTGTTTCCTTGAAATAGATGTACCAGTAACTGTTAGCTTAATCTATTTACTGGTGAAAGAACAAGATGAGCAACTTATAAACAAGAAAGTTTTAATAACAATATTCATTGAAACTGAAACAAAAACAAGCTGCACAATAGATATGGGCAGAAATAGCACACAGCCAAAGAACAAGATTGAAATAAAAATTTTACAAAGAACAAAACTACACACTGGAATTTTGAGACTACATCTTTTTTTCTGCTAAAGGCATTTCCCGGTACACTGGTTACAGCAACAGCTCATGATGTCAGAAAACAAAGAATAAGAAGCTTAGCGTTGTTCCCCAACTGTAAAAACAGCTTAAACAATTCACTCTGAGACTCAATAATGAAGACTTGCGATCAAGTTGTAACTTTCTAGTCTGTGGATGTGACCATTCAAATGATGGTACTAACCATTCGAATGAATCAGCGGTACTTTCACATTTTAAGCGCTTATTTGGTACAGTATGTTATTCTCACTTTTGAAACTGTTTGGCAAAATCCTGTGGCCATGCCAAACCTCTCCATTAGTAGTTCTCTCACACGTTTGTCAGCATTAAAGTGAGTGAGTGGGAGTGAATGGGAAAACAAAAGTGTTGCATCTGAAAAAAAATTTTTTTGAGGCTATCTGAAAAACAACTCCATAATCGTGTACAAAACTCTCATGAATGTAAACTCTGTCTTGACGTCTGATGTTGTCATTTTCCAGCCTGCTTTCTTAACATAACGTAGATATTCTCCTTTATCCATTCCTTATTGTGAGGCTCGTAATATGGCTCTTTTTGGCAGCGCCTGTTGAAGAGTAAAAGAAAAAACAAACAACACAACCAAACTTTCAAGTCATCCAAATCTATTGATACATATGAAAAGTTTTTGTCGTGATAAGCGGCTCATCTCTGGTGTAATATGATTTATTACTCACAGTTGACGTAAAACAGAGAAAACAAAACATCCTTAATGATGAACCCTACCCTGATAATAGTCCAAAAAGCAAAGAAAAGGAATAGGGGATGACCCTGATAAATTGAAACTCTTTAGTGAGTACTTTAGTATCATGTGAGGCTACAAAAATGTCAGACCCCTAATGATGGCCAGCTTAGGGACAGAGACAATTTACAAAATTAACTCAGATATGGGATTTTTCTGGAATTTTGACTTTGGGTGCCAGGATATATATGTATTTTCTGCCTTTAATGCTTCAAAGACCATCATCAACTTATTTTCTTCAAACAACATCAATACAAAAGATTATGGGAATTAATAAAATTATCACCAAAGGGAACAAGTTTCGATCTTTTGTCAAATTCTAAAGGAACTCTATGGAGTTCAGTCTGGAGAATTTGTGTGTGGTTATTTGGGCTTAACGAGTTAAAAAAACTAACACTGTCTCATCAGACATTCAGGCCATAAAAGAAATTTTTAAAAAGGAGAAATGATTGCCAAGGAAAAAACTATCTGTTGATTATTAGATTCCCCTAATTTTGAACCAAAGAAATGCATAGGGAAGAGTGCAAAGATTAATGCATTCTGATATTAGGATTTACAGAGTTTAAAGAGCATTTTAAATGAAAAGTGATCTAAAATTTATGAACAAAATGGTTCAGAATGGTACACTAAACACGTTAAGTCTGTCAGGCTGTCAATGTAGTCGAACAGTTGACTGATGTCATAAGTGATGGATGGAGTGCTTGGATTGCTTCTTTTCAGGTATTCTTCAAATATCTTGCATACACCTGAAATCAATAAAAAACAGAATTTTATTATTTATTAAAATAATTTTATTTTTTATTCTCCCATCACTCTATAATTCAAAGAATACAAAACTGTTACCCCAACATCTTTTACCGAGGCAGTGCAAGAAAAAAAACAGACCTCGCTAACGGAGCTCCCTTGGGACCAGGAAATGTCCACTTAGTAGGGATGTCTGCTTTATGGTGATAACAAAATTCATGAAGTGTTTTTACGTCCCTGGTACATGTACCATCATAGCCTGTGGCACAGATTGAACTAAATTTTTGGCTGAATCTGTCTGCGAAACCGTCCTACAATCCTTGTTCTGGGCTCCAACTGTACACCAGGATTCGAGCATGCACCATGATTGACCTGTTGAGTGTGCCATGATTTCAAGTACACGTAGCTGCCATTGCAGACCGTAATATATAAAATTCCTACAAGTCGTTTTAGCTTCAGGGATCAAAATACAAAATAGTTATCCTTACTTTCCATGCATTCTTCTTTTGTTTCATAGTCAGAGTACGTCCGTGATTCCGGCTTTGAAGTAGGCTGTATCAGGAGGATTGTGTGACTCTATAAAGAAACAAAATGAAAGAAAGCAATAGACCTCTTTAGCTTGTATGTTATGTTTTCCCAATAGAGGTACCAGGGGAACCTGACCCTTTGTCTTTTCATAAATTATGCATACAGGCCGAGGCAGCGTGGCTGAGTGGTTAGAGTGCCGGACTTGCAATTCGGGAGCCCTGAATTTAAGTCCCGCTCTGACAGCTAGCTGGATTTGTTCTAGGCAGTCCTGAGTTCAAATCCTTGACCACGCTTGTAAATAACCAACTGGTTTGCCTCTGGGCAGCTGGGAATCTTAACCCTGTTAAGTTCAATTTGAATAATTTGTTTCAGGTGTTTGCTTGGCCCCACTAGCATTAGTGCTATAAATACTACCGAGGGTAAATAACGGAATTATTATTATAATAAATGCCAAGAAAAAGACGAAATTTGAAAGAAACAGTTCTCTAAAGTATTATCACATGACCTGTACTGGGAAAACAAAACATACAAACTAAAGAAGTCTATTAGCATACAAATGTAAAATAGGGGCTTGACGCAAGTAAGAGGATGATAAAAGCCATATTACTATGAATAAGGTGCAAGGCATGCATGGAAAACTCCAGGGTCAAACCATTAAACAAGCCACTCAGCTACAAGATTACTGAGACTTGTTTACCCTTTAAACCCAAAGATCAAACTTTGAATTCTCATTTGTTGCCCCTATTCATTTCCCACAGAAGTAGTGGGAAGAAGTTGACAAAATATCAAGCAAGTTCATCTTGTGTGATCATGTCCGTAATTCTCATGACCACTCTGTTTTACAAAGCGTTGATATTACAAGGAGAAATTTGATGCTGATCACTCTTGGGGCTTAAAGGGTTAAGTGACCTAAGCAACTAAACATCAACATCCACTAACCAACCCATCAACTAACTTAACACACAGCTTGATCAATTCGAACGATGTCTAATAGTAACAGGTTAAAGTAGTCATTTATTCTTTGGTTGTTCCCCTGACAATTTCATGAAGAACATCAAAAGAAGAGATTATAAGTATTTACAAGTGCTTCTAATATTAGTTTACTTAAGACAATCTGACAAATTATTAGGTGAGTTTATGTCAATCCGGTACGCTTTCGTTTTCTCTTTGATCTTAGTGATTTTAATACCTTACATAATGATACTGACGAAATTATTGTGCTTTATATCCTTTCCTTGGACATAATCTGATAACTACGGTTCTGGGAAATGATCGAACAAAGCACCCAAAACAAAACAATTCCATCGCAGCTTGCTCGAAGATTCAATGCAATCGTGACTCAATACAAGTTTCATTTGGGCCTGTGCGCTGCAAAACCAAAGCAGCACACTCTACCTAAAACTATGATAGAGTCTACCAAATATTTCACTCACCATTTTCACTGAAAACTTGTAAAATTGAGGGAGAAGTTTTCTGTCCAGACACGTGAACTCTCTGCTCGGCGCTTCTCTTTGCACTTGGTTTCCATATATGGAAAGAAAACTCATCACGCAGGAGAAACTGGGTTCTAGTAATTTGTCCAATCAAATGTGATGTTAGAAAAAGGACCTCTGTTTGAAATTCCAACACAAAGATCGAGTGTTCCTCGCGAACAATTCAACATGGTTTTCAGGTAAGTTTTAAATTACTTGGCTTTTTTTTGAGAATTTGTTTCGGTACGATTTGACTTTAAGAAGTGATTTATATTTCTATAAGGTGAATATTTCCTGTTGCAGCGTTCACCGGTGCGAAGACACGAATTTGACAGTTCCGACGAAGAGGAGAATGATGCTGTTGAAAATCTCACACCTTTACAAATAGATTGGTAAAAGAAATTTATTACGGTATTCAGTCAGTATCGTAATTGGTTGTAATGCTCCATTCAAGCCTCTTAAAGTCAGTTTGTGTGCATATTGTGATGTTATCAGCATGAATGAATCTGCCTCTGGTTGGATTTCTCTACCTTAATTTTTGTAGTAAGCTTACTGAAATTTACTTACTTTACTTTAAGTAACGGACACCCTAATTAATATGTATATGACACCCTGGTTTAACAATGACATGACCGCCAGTGAATTTGCGAATGCAACCAACTTTGTAAACATTCATAGGGGTGTTCGTTTATTAATAACTTGGGAATTAAGTAGTCTATGAATGTTTGGTCTAGAATCAGGGATCCAGCAAACTTTGAAAAACCAGATGTGCATGTACAGTTAGCTGCATTAATTTTCACCCTGCTCTAGACAAGGAACATACCATCAAGCCAGGTCAAGCGTACCCCTAGCCTCCCATTCTCTTATATTTCCCGATAAATGACAGATAAACTTACATAATACCCGCAAATTTTCATACCCCTACATGTACCTGTGGTGGTGGAAACCATGCAACCTCCCCCCCAGTGGTGTCTGACCCTCTCCAAAACTCAACAACTCTTGCAAATCTAGTCCTTTACCATCTACAGTGGTACAAGGATAGGACAAAGTCCAAAACAAGCTGATATTTGTGTGTTAGCCAGAAGGAGTGAAACCTATGTTCAAAGGGATGCTTATTGAGGGGTGGACGGGAGGTCTATTTGAACAATTTATCTGGCTAATGCACATCTTTACACCTGAAGAAGTTAACAGTAGGGAAGAAGTTTTTCATTATGGCATCAATTTACTACGTGTACCAGAACACTCCTTACCAGGACTCCAGTCCAAAATGAATTCTGGTATTTTTAATAAAATGACCAGGCTGACATGCAAGTATTAGCCTGGTGATTTCTTTGATTTTAGGGTAGACCTTTCATTCACTGGTTCTTGTGCAGAAGTTATTTGCATCAGTGAATTGCCAGGTAATTTTTTCTTATTTTTGAGAAGAATTTTTAATGATTTGGGTGGATTTTAATTGGGATGCAGATTGACAACAGGGGAGACTTGAGAATAGTATAGTGCATTGTAAGATCTCATTTTCTGAAACTAAGCAGTTCCTCTTCCTTCTGAGGCCACAGCTACTGATGTACATGTCATGAGTGTCACATTTAATGTTGCTAAAGTTAAACTACAGCTGTATTCGTGTATGTACCAGGGCATGGCTTTCTTCAATTCTCAAATTATGTGTGAGACAAACGGTTTTCAAATTTAGACGTGGGGCAGATGACCACCCTCTTCTAAACTCTTGAAATTAGTTTAAAGCTCAGTCAACTGCCATCATTTGTATATTACCGAAATAAGGCACCTCTGAGCCTTTTACGTCTTGAAGTGTTAATGCTGATTGATTATCTGTTTATTGTCAATTTAGGCTGTAAATATAAGGATACAAACAGGAATTTAACTGTGGATATAGGTTTGTAAATTTGAGGCTACACTGCTTATAGTACATGTACATTATCGTTTTAGTTAGAGGTTGATCTGCCATGTAGAGAACCAGTCAAACTAAATGACTGAAGATTGACCAAAAAGGCACCCTTGGTAACCATTATCACTGAATTGTATTTTTTTTGGTCCCCTTTAGCACAACTTAAAGCAATCAACATCACAGATGTGTTTGTGTTCTGTTCCTCTGCTGAGATGATCAGGTAAGTCATTAATGACCTTACAAAATTAGTGTGTTTGTCCCCTTACTGTAGTTTTCATACTAGTGAACAGAAGTTCCAAAGCAAAAGCTTAGTAAGATTCACCAGGCAATCACTCTTTAGGCCAAATGCATGTATGCCAAGATCTTAAACTCTAAATCTGTGATTGAAATCCTTGGTGTTATTTTACTCTTTAAATTTTGCATAGTATTGTTTGAAATATCTCTTTGAAAAAATTCTACAAATTAAAACACAATTTTAAGCTTTTCTTTGGCCACTTTGTAATTGGGGTACGTGGGGTCGTCCATTTACAGCCACTTGGGCGGAGTCACACTGTACCTCCCATTGGAGCTGGGAGCACTGCATGACCCCTGCCCAAGCAGCTCTGAAGGAGACTAACTTAATTTGAGATAAATGAATTAACCTTTTACAATAAAACTATTTCTGTTTTCAGGTGTAGAGTTCCTCATCTGATTGATGAGTACCACTGGGCTGGCTTTGGAGTTCACCACTTCCCTGCTGAGGGTGGCAGTGTTTTAGCAATAAGCGACTGTGAGGTTTTGATAGAGCAGTTAAGGAAATGTATCACTTTTGGACACAAAACACTTTTACAGTAAGTTGACCTAAGGCCTGGGGGCAGGGGGTACTTGGGTTAATTATTTTTGCTGGGTATGTGCTGCTGGCCTCTCAGAACCCCTACCCCATTAAATTAGTCTATTCTGTGGCCAGAAGACCCCATCTTATCCATTTTTGAGGATCCCATCTTATAATTAGTCACTTTCTGTTTGTGTATCTACCTTATAAAGCCTTTTAACTTAAGCATTCTAAAATGAAGTGACAGATTTTTTAAATTGAATCAAGAACAGTACTTTTCACCTGCAGTATAAACATTCTGGTACATTTGCTAGCTGCAAATGTGAAGAACTTTTCTTACCCAAAAATCCAAAAAATGTGTGACCCCATTATAGTCAACCCAGTTGTGAAAATGCGACCCTATCCAAGGGCACATCTGCATTAGCCTCTTATAAGGAAGTACTGTCTGTTGCACCTTAGAGCATAACTTGATGGTCCACTGAATGGTACTGTGTTCAGGGTCCTTTGTAATTGTTTTGAAAATATTTAGCAATTATTCCTAGAGCCTGAGTGGGCTCTGAGTCAATAGCCCGTGAGGCTGAAGGCCAAATTATTGTTCTAGTGAAATCCAACTAGTTGGTTTAAAATATCAAGACAATACAACTTTAGCTAGTTAACGCTAGACTTAAAGCCATTGTTTTGGTTTTCAAAGCCAGTTCTTTTTACTATTAGTGGGCTATGACATATAGCCTAGTAGTAGCTCAGCCAATCAGATTCAGCATTAATTGATAATAGACCATTAGTTGGATTTTACTTACTACGTAGCCCTGTGATGAAATTTACAATCATGGGGACAATGTTCACCAGTTTGACGGCCTCCTGGTAGGGCAGTCCTGGGCATATTAGTACACACTGAGCGCTTTTCAAGGTACTTTATTTGGCAGGGCATTAAAAAAGGCAGGTGCTGTGTGCGTAAGAACAAATTTAGCAATTATACAAGCAGGGTAGAAAGTGGACATATCCTGTTGAGGAACTCTTGATCTCTTTAACTGCACTAAAAAATACAGACACTTGAATGCTTTCTTGATTGCTAATCTGCCATTTTCTAATATTTTTATATATTTTTCATTCTTAGCTGTGTTTCTGGTTTAGGAGTTTCTTGTTTAGGTAAGTGACAACAGCTGTTAATGTGTTCATTGAGGCTGCCTATGTTTGAGAGAGTGCCTATAAAATATTGGCATTCAATGGCCACCCACCCATTAGTCCAGATTCGAATTTGTCATGGCTGCTGAATAACGCCTGCAAAGACTTATTTATATAAGGTTAGCCTTGACCTAAAGTAATTCACAAATACTGGCAAGATGGTGTCTAAATTTGAGTTTAAATTGTAGACGCAGTTGTAGAAGCTAAGGTCTTCTTCTGACTAGAATTTGTGAAATATTTTCCTTAGGTTTGAAGGCTTACCCTAACCAACGAGACTTCAGTGCTTCTTTTCAGTGGCCCTGATGAATTAGAAACTGGGGTATAAAATTTTTAATTTGATTTTCATTTACCCATCTTGAAAATGTACTTGCCAACAAAGAAATAATTGCAAATTACACTCTGAAAATGTATGTTGTGGTTCAAGTATTTTTAAATCAATTTAAATTTTTCAAACTAATTTGAAACTTTTAAACACACCACTCATTCTCATTTATTTGTGCTTCTGCCTGTAAAATACTCTGTGTAAAATAAACTTTTGCTTTTAAGGTGTCACACGTCACACATTCATATAATGGCCTCACAATCTGTTTTTTTTTTTTGGTTTCTGTTCTGTTCAGCTGCAGCTGTCTTGTTACTGAGTCTGGATGAATTCATGTCCCCTGATCATGTCATCTCCAAGATGCGACAAGTAAGAGGTCAGCGAGCCTTTCAAACAGTAAAGGTATGATAGCTCAAGCAAAATTGTTTTCTCTTACTGTATTAATTAACGCCATAATCATTAGCCAACATGCCAAAAAACTTAACCATTCAATTTTTTTATAATAAAGGTTTCACTGATCTAAGTCAGTGATCAAGCGACTTACCACCGGGGATAACTCAGTAATCCACTGATGCCCTGTTCAGGGGGGTGGAGTGGTAATAATCTTAGTTCTTCTTATTACTGAAACTAGAATAACCTCCTTTGGTCTTCGTTTGCTCAGAGTGCGTGTTTACCTTTTTTAGAGGGCAGGGTGCTACACTGTAGGTTTTAGACTTCCCGAGGGACCTGACATTAAGTGTTTTGTTATATCTCTAGACTTTCACTTCAACAACAACAAAAGAATAGCGACAGCCATAATTATAACAACAAAATTTAATTCTCAAAATCCTGCCTGAATGAATTAATCATTTACAAACTAAAGTACTTTCCTTATATTATCTGCATCTTTTTTTCTCCACTAGCTGCTGTTTCTCTTCTGGAATAATTTTAAAAATCGTTGCTTTTTAGACCTTTTTAGCTTGAGTCTTTCATGTTTGTGTTGTTGTGTTCATTCACAAAAAAGAAAACTGGCGGTGTTTTTCCACCTTCAGTTGTCACGCCACTTTCCACCATGCTTTGGTCATGTGCTGTGATGTATCCCGAGCAGGGTACATTGCTTAATGTATCACGATTGGGATACATTAAATTTTGATTTTAGTCAAGGCTACGTGACCAAGAATCAACCAATACCAGTCCCTGTTTAGTTGAGTGAAAGTCTAGGAATAATGTTATTTTCACCTGTAAAGATATCGTAATAATGTTTTTTCACCGAAAGCTCACCTGGTATTTCACTAGTGTTTGTATAATAAATGCCAATATCTAATAAATAACATTTTCTTAAAGTTTGACCATCGTTTATTAAGGATGCCAACAATCATAGAAATTGGTTTAATAATCGAAATTGTTCCTGCTGAAAAATGCGATAGGTTCAGGCTACCTTAATGACAGTGACTGAGTTTTTAGTTTGTATATGTTGTACGGTAGTTAATTTTTTATATCAACTTTAAAAGAGTGTTCTACCCCTGAAGAATATGGGCTTACCTCTGAAGAATATAGGTACTACCCCTGAAGAATATGGGTACTACCCCTGAAGAATATGGGTACTACCCCTGAAGAATATAGGTACTACCTCTGAAGAATATGGGTACTACCTCTGAAGAATATGGGTTTACCCCTGGAGTATATAGGTACTACCCCTGAAGAATATGGGTACTACCCCTGAAGAATATAGGTACTACCCCTGAAGAATATAGGTACTACCCCTGAAGTTCACAACCAGTGAAGAATATGGGTACTACCCCTGAAGAATGTGCATACTACCCCTGAAGAATATGGGTTTACCCCTGGAGAAATTCATGAAAATTAAAGCTTCACCCCCAAAGAATTCTATATTTTTTTGCTCTACCCCTCCCCTCTACCGCAATGTTCATAACTTACCCCTGGAGAATTCCATGGTTCTTAACCAGGGGCGTGTGGATATTAAATGCAAAATTCAAAGCCCTAAACTATTTTACTCAGAAAGCTGACATTCCAGTGTCCTTTTAAGAGTCAAAACTGGATATTTCCCTTGTGTTACTCTCCACAAAGTTCCACAAATGTTAGAGCTTTATAGAAGCTGCTGGGCTTGTGAAAAAGCTCAGTCTTGGCAAAAGGTGTCTCATGCTTAAGCTTTCTTTGAAAAACAAGTCACGCCTGTTTGTTGCCCGTATAACAACCCCATTCCTAGTATCCCTCCTGCTCCACAGGGACAGAGAGGACCCTGGGAACGAGGTTAGCTTTACAAGGGAGTTTTAGCCCCGTGTGGCGGCCATGTTGGTGGTCAAGAACAAAAGCATTTTTCTCCTCTGGGAACTAAACTCTATTTTCATGTAAATTCTTCGAGGAAATATTCTTTTGTTTTGACCCCCAAGATGGCCGCCTTGCCACGTGGTTGCAAACCAAGAATTGAGGGAAACCCTGTCTCTAATGTTGTCTTTTCTTCCTTCAGCAATACAATTTTGTCCATGAATTCCGTGATATGTATAAAGCTTATCAAGATGAGCAAAGAAACTCTACAGAAGTGGCAGCTCCAAGGTCGCTTTCGAGATGAACTTGGAAGTTATAAACTCTAACATCATGATATGTTGTGTTACCATACAATTTCCGAAATAATTTATCATAGTTGAGTTGAAATCCCTGCTTTTTATGGTACTGAAATAAGTATTATTGTAATTGTATATATGGCACTGGAATAGAGAAAAATTATGGGATAACATATCAGCCTAGTCATGAGGACGTTTCGGCTCAGTCAAACTCTCCCTGTGTGTTCATAGTGGAGAGTTTGCTTACAAGCCAATAGATATTGTCTACCTTCTATGTCTATGCCACTTACAGAACTTTTAGTTCCAAGGAATGCAAATGCATTTCTTTGCCTCAGTTAATATAAGTAATATAAAAACTGTATGTTATTAACAACAAAATTATAAGGGATGATACCCCCCCCCCCCAATCCACCTACCCCCAGTGCCTCGTTCAACATTTGGAATACCACCGTATGTAGTGATTTTTATCATATAATAAGTTTGATGTTAAAATTTTAATAGAGCAAGTCGTATTTGTAACATTATTACATACATATTATTATTCATTCAAAATATTTCCCCGATTCTGATTGGCTAAAAGCACATGCATAATTCACCATAACCAGTTTCTGATGACCAAAAATGGAAGAATTTTGTGTTTAATGCGGAAATAGCGTCAAAAATGCACTGTTCATGCAGGTTAAGGCACCGTTAACCGCGAGGCTGTGAAAACAAAAATGGCTGACATTTCACTCATTTCAAGAGTAAGAACTAGCGAAAAAAAATAGCTAAAAAGATGGCAAGAACTGCAAGAAGACAACACGAAGGGGCGACATCTACTATTTGGAGAATATTTGTGGAGCTGGACAAACCTAAACGTGCACTATCGAAGGATCGATGGAGGTAAGCATGTTTTAGCAATGTTTTTAAACTAGGAATTATTTTGAATGAATAATAAAACGATTATTGAATTCGGCTTTCGTACCATATGAACAATTATGGAGATCTCGGAGGGTTTATCCGCCTCGTCCGGATAACACCCTCTTCGATCTCCATAATTATTCACAAGATACTCAGCCTCATTCATTAATTGTTAAATAATGCACGTTAATATGGTGTATCGTTCGTGTAGCCTTTCTAACTAGTTCTGCTTTTGTATATAATAAGTTTGTTCATCAGAAATGCTGTTGCAATAAGAAATAGACCTAATAAAATATGTGTCACTAAAACTATTTCGACTGCTTAACCTTTTTGCATTTTTGTTTTCTTTCATTTTAAATTTTCATAATGAAAACTGCGCGAGTCTTCCTACTTCCATCCGCATTACTGATGAGCGTAGTACCCGTGATTGTTTGATTTAAATGAACCCGAAAATTCAGAGGTCGTCCCAATAATTTCACGGTGGTACTGGTGACAAAAGTCTCAGGACACTACAAATGCAATAATCTTTTTTTCTTTTTTGATGCGGAGGGGGGCGTGGCTTAAATTCATTTTTGCCTTTTAGGGACCAGTCTTTATTTATCGCTTGGTGGGGGGAAGGATTTTAGATGGGATCACTAGATTTTTGGGAGAACAAAAGGGGGAATCAGTCATAACTGAGGGCCCAAAAGGGAGGATCGCTGAAAACTTTGGAAGGATTCAGAGGGTCATCACTCAAATTTGCTTGAAAAATGAAGACAGGGGAGGGATCGTGAAAGTAATCAAAAGTTATTAGGGGGGATCACTTCAGCGAAATAACATTCAAAGGGGGGATCAGCTAAATTTCTCCTTGTTTAGCCCCAAATCCTCCCCCTGGCAATAAATACTGACCAGTCCTCTATAATCTGTTATTAATGGTACCATTTCTCCAAGAACAATTCAACCGGTGCTAACAGTTTTTGAAAACAACATAGACAGATGAAAGTTGGGTAACAAAAGAGTTTCCAAAGTGGAAGGCGGGAAGCAGTATTTAGGGTCCCAACACCCCTAAATTAAAATATACTCATCATTCTAGAGGTTTGACTACTACAAGTGCATTAACCTGAAGGGTTGCACTTTTTAATTTAATTTAATTAATTTAATTTCAAAACTTATAAGGTGTAAATATCTATATAAATATATTCAAATGCGCCACTTTTTATGTGGATTGTAACACTTAACTGGATAAAACGTTACAAGGTTGTGATGTCAAAAATACCTTACCTAAGAGACCTTTCCCACTTTCCTGTCAACAAGGGCATAAGAGTCGAGGCCCAGGTGGACATAATACAGTGATTTGTATGAAATTGTCAACCCGAGCCTCGACCTCATTTTTTTATGTTTGCTCACTGGTGCGGAATGCGGGAAAGGTCTAGTAATCAATTCAATTCTCATTATTTCAATTCTAAAGGATATTTATTAAGTTCTTAAGGCCTCATCTATTCGGAGAAATGTTGATACCCCCTACCAAAACAACACTGGGCGAGTCAACTTTTCATAAAATTCCTTTGAAAACGTGGCTTGCCTAGAAGGGTGACCCGCCTAGCTGGGTCACCTTTTTCTGATGGTGGAGTCATCCTCTTACATGGGTCACGTTTCTCTATATAAACACTCAGTCAAAGCAAGATAGTGTAGAATTCGCAAATGCTGTTGGCTCTCGCAAAGTTGCATGAAGGGGTCAACTTAACTCACATAAACACTTGCTCAAGTTGACTTGGCTGTTGTGATAATTTTTGGGACTTTCAGAAAAATGATGGGTTAACCCCTTGGAAAAATCCGATTTTTTTTAGTAAAGACAGGCTTTTTTTTTATCGAGAACAGCATATTGTCTTAATTCTGGCTCTATTTCAAACAAAAATTTGAATAAAAAATTATGGAATTTTTTGGCCAAAATCATGGGTTAACCCTTTTGGGAAAATCCAATGTTTGGGATTTAAATAAAGAACATTTTTATAACAAAGAAAGGCATCTTTTTTATTATCTAGAACAGCGTTTCTGTCAAAAATTGGCAATTTCTCCATTTTGTACTTTTAAGCAAAATACGCCAGGAAAATGTGTTTCAAGATATTCTAGAAAGAAAAAAAAGCCTTTCTAGACTATAAAATCAACAACTTAAAAAATTCGAAAATTGGGTTTTTTTAAGGAATTGCGAATTTTTCCATTTTTTTATTTTAAGCAATATACGCCAGCAAAATGTGTTTCAGGATATTCTAGAAAGAAAAAAAGCCTTTCTGGACAATAAAATCAACAAGTTAAAAAAGTCGAAAAAAGGAATTTTTCTAAAGGGGCTAGTCCATGGTTTTGTTCAAAAATTGGCAATTTTTTCATTTTTTTTATTCTAGGCAAATTACGCACAGAAAATGTGTTTCAAGATATTCTAGAGAGATAAAACGCCTTTCAAGACTATAAAAACAAGAAGTCGCAAAACTGGGATTTTTCCAAAAGGGTTAGTCTATGGTTTTGGTAAAAAATTTCGAATTTTTCCATTTTCTTATTTTAAGCAATGTACGCAAGGAAAATGTCTTTAACGATATTCTAGAGACAAAAAACGCCTTTCTAGGCCTTAAAAACAACAAGTTGAAAAAAGTCGAAAAATTGACATTTTTCCAAAGGGTCAAACCATGGCCATTTTTTCACCTTTCCTTTTTTAGGCAATACAGGCCAGGAAAATGTCTTTTATGATATTCTAGAGAAATAAAACGCCTTTCTAGGCTATAAAAACAACAAGTTGAAAACAGTCGAAAAATTGAAATTTTTCCAAAGGGGTTAACACATGGTTTTGGTCCAAAAATGGCCATTTTTGCAACTTTTTTTTTTAGGCAATATAGGCAAGGAAAATATCTTTTATGATATTCTAGAACGAAAAAACGCCTTTCAAGGCTATAAAAACAAGAAGATCAAAAATTGACATTTTTCCAAAGGGGTTAACCCATGCTTTTGGTCCAAAACTAGCCATTTTTTCAACTTCTTTTTTTTTGGCAATATAGGCCAAGAAAATGTCTCTTACGAAATTCTTGAACGAAAAAACGCCTTTCTAGACTATAAAAAGAAGAAGTTCAAAAAGTCGAAAAATTGATATTTATCCAAAGGGGTTAACCCATGGTTTTTGTCCAAAAATGGCCATTTTTCCAATTTTTTGTTATAACGCAATATAGGCCAGGAAAACGTCTTTTATGATATTCTTGAACGAAAAAACGGCTTTTTTAGACTATAAAAAAAGAAGTTCAAAAACTTGAAATATTGACATTTTTCCAAAGGGGTTAACCCATGGTTTTGGTCCAAAAATAGCCATTTTTTCAACTTTTTTTTAAAGGCAATATAGGCCAGGAAAATGCCTTTTATGATATTCTAGAACGAAAAAACGCCTTTCAAGGCAATAAAAACAAAAAGTTCAAAAAGTCGAAAAATTGACGTTTTTCCAAAGGGGTTAACCCATGGTTTTGGTCCGAAAATGGCCCTTTTTCCAATTTTTTTTATTAGGCAAAATAGCCCAGGAAAACGTCTTTTATGATATTCTAGAGACAAAAAACGCCTTTCTAGGCTATAAAAACAAGAAGTTCAAAAAGTCGAAAAATTGACATTTTTGCAAAGGGGTTAACCTATGGTTTTGGTCCAAAAATGGCCATTTTTTCAACTTTTTTTTTTTTGGCAATATAGGCCAGGAAAATGTCTCTTACGAAATTTTAAAACGAAAAAACGCCTTTCTAAGCTAGAAAAAGAAGAAGTTCAAAAAGTCGAAAAATTGACATTTTCCTAAACGGGTTAACCCATAATTTTTGTCCAAAAGTGGCCATTTTTCCAATTTTTTTTTATTAGGCAATATAGGCCTGGAAAACGTCTTTTATGATATTCTAGAACGAAAAAACGCCTTTCTAGGATATAAAAACAAGAAGTTCAAAAAGTCGAAAAATTGACATTTTTGCAAAGGGGTTAAGCCATGCTTTTTGTCCAAAAATGGCCATTTTTTCAACTTTTTTTTTTTTAGGCAATATAGGCCAGGAAATTATCTTTTATGATATTGTAGAGAAAAAAAACGCCTTTCTAGGCTATAAAAACAAGAAGTTCAAAAAAGTCGAGAAATTGACATTTTTCCAAAAGGGTTAACCCATGGTTTTGTTCCAAAACTGGCCATTTTTTCAACTTTTTTTTTTTAGGCAATATAGGCCAGGAAAATGTCTTTTATGATATTCTAGAGACAAAAACCGCCTTTCAAGGCTATAAAAAGAAGAAGTTCAAAAAGTCGAAAAATTGACATTTTTCCAAAGGGGTTAACCCATGGTTTTGGTTCAAAAATGGTCATTTTTCTAACGTTTCTTTTTAGGCATTATAGGCCAGGAAAATGTCTTTTATGATATTCTAGAACGAAAAAACGCCTTTCAAGGCTATAAAAAGAAGAAGTTCAAAAAGTCAAAAAATTGACATTTTTCCAAAGGGGTTAACACATGGTTTTGGTCCAAAACTAGCCATTTTTTCAACTTCTTTTTTTTTGGTAATATAGGCCAAGAAAATGTCTCTTACGAAATTCTTGAACGAAAAAACGCCTTTCTAGACTATAAAAAGAAGAAGTTCAAAAAGTCGAAAAATTGACATTTTTTCAAAGGGGTTAACCTATGCTTGTGGTCCAAAAATGGCCATTTCTTCAACTTCTTTTATTTTGGCAATATAGGCCAAGAAAATGTCTCTTACGAAATTCTTGAACGAAAAAACGGCTTTTTTAGACTATAAAAAAAGAAGTTCAAAAAGTTGAAATATTGACATTTTTCCAAAGGGGTTAACCCATGGTTTTGGTCCAAAAATAGCCATTTTTTCAACTTTTTTTTAAGGCAATATAGGTCAGGAAAATGTCTTTTATGATATTCTAGAGACAAAAAACGCCTTTTTAGGGTATAAAAACAGCAAGTTGAAAACAGTCGAAAAATTCACATTTTTCCAAAGGGGTTAACCCATGGTTATGGTCCAAAAATGGCCATTTTTCCCACTTTTTTTTTTTTTAGGCAATATAGGCCAGGAAATTGTCTTTTATGATATTAGAGAACGAAAAAACGCCTTTCAAGGCCTTAAAAACAAGAAGTTCAAAAAGTGGAAAAATTGACGTTTTTCCAAAGAGGTTAACCCATGGTTTTGGTCGAAAAATGGCCATTCTTCCAATTTTTTTTATTAGGCACAATAGCCCAGGAAAACGTCTTTTATGATATTCTAGAGACAAAAAACGCCTTTCTAGGCTATAAAAAGAAGAAGTTCAAAAAGTCGAAAAATTAACATTTTTGCTAAGGGGTTAACTCATGGTTTTGGTCCAAAAATGGCCATTTTTACCACGTTTTTTTTTAGGCAATATAGGCCAAGAAAATGTCTTTTATGATATTCTAGAACGAAAAAACGCCTGTCCAGGCTATAAAAACAAGAAGTTCAAAAAGTCGAAAAATTGACGTTTTTCCAAAGGGGTTAACCCTTGGTTTTCGTCCGAAAATGGCCATTTTTCCAATTTTTTTTATTAGGCAATATAGGCCTGGAAAACGTCTTTTATGATATTCTAGAACGAAAAAACGTCTTTCTAGGCTATAAAAACAAGAAATTCAAAAAGTCGAAAAATTGGCATTTCTCCAAAGGGGTTACCCCATGGTTTTGGTTCAAAAATGGCCAATTTTCTAACGTTTCTTTTCAGGCATTATAGGCCAGGAAAATGTCTTTTATGATATTCTAGAACGAAAAAACGCCTTTCAAGGCTATAAAAAGAAGAAGTTCAAAAAGTCGAAAAATTGACATTTTTCCAAAGGGGTTAACCCATGCTTTTGGTCCAAAACTAGCCATTTTTTCAACTTCTTTCTCTTTGGCAATATAGGCCAAGAAAATGTCTCTTACGAAATTCTTGAACGAAAAAACGCCTTTCTAGACTATAAAAAGAAGAAGTTCAAAAAGTCGAAAAATTGATATTTTCCCAAAGGGGTTAACCCATGGTTTTTGTCCAAAAATGTAGATTTCTCCAATTTTTTTTATTCCGCAATATAGGCGAGGAAAACGTCTTTTATGATATTCTAGAACGAAAAAACGCCTTTTTAGGCTATAAAAACAAGAAGTTCAAAAGTCGAAAAAATTTTTTTTTTTTCAAAGCGGTTAACCCATGGTTTTGGTCCAAAAATAGCCATTTTTTAAACTTTTTTTTAAGGCAATATCGGCCAGGAAAATGTCTTTTATGATATTATAGAGCGAAAAAACGCCTTTCAAGGCTATAAAAACAAGAAGTTCAAACAATCGAAAAATTGACGTTTTTCCAAAGGGGTTAACCCATGGTTTTGGTCCGAAAATAGCCATTTTTCCAATTTTTTTTATTAGGCAAAATAGCCCAGGAAAACGTCTTTTATGATGTTCTAGAGACAAAAAACGCCTTTCTAGGCTATAAAAACAAAAAGTTCAAAAAGTTGAAAAATTGACATTTTTGCAAAGGGGTTAACCCATGGTTTTGGTCCAAAAATGGCCATTTTTTCAACTTTTTTTTTTTGGCAATACAGGCCAGGAAAATGTCTCTTACGAAATTCTAGAACGAAAAAACGCCTTTCAAGGCTATAAAAAGAAGAAGTTCAAAAAGTCGAAAAATTGACATTTTTCCAAAGGGGTTAACCCATGCTTTTGGTCCAAAACTAGCCATTTTTTCAACTTCTTTCTCTTTGGCAATATAGGCCAAGAAAATGTCTCTTACGAAATTCTTGAACGAAAAAACGCCTTTCTAGACTATAAAAAGAAGAAGTTCGAAAAGTCGAAAAATTGATATTTTCCCAAAGGGGTTAACCCATGGTTTTTGTCCAAAAATGTAGATTTCTCCAATTTTTTTTTATTCCGCAATATAGGCGAGGAAAACGTCTTTTATGATATTCTAGAACGAAAAAACGCCTTTTTAGGCTATAAAAACAAGAAGTTCAAAAAGTCGAAAAATTGACATTTTTTCAAAGCGGTTAACCCATGGTTTTGGTCCAAAAATAGCCATTTTTTAAACTTTTTTTTAAGGCAATATCGGCCAGGAAAATGTCTTTTATGATATTATAGAGCGAAAAAACGCCTTTCAAGGCTATAAAAACAAGAAGTTCAAACAATCGAAAAATTGACGTTTTTCCAAAGGGGTTAACCCATGGTTTTGGTCCGAAAATAGCCATTTTTCCAATTTTTTTTATTAGGCAAAATAGCCCAGGAAAACGTCTTTTATGATGTTCTAGAGACAAAAAACGCCTTTCTAGGCTATAAAAACAAAAAGTTCAAAAAGTTGAAAAATTGACATTTTTGCAAAGGGGTTAACCCATGGTTTTGGTCCAAAAATGGCCATTTTTTCAACTTTTTTTTTTTGGCAATACAGGCCAGGAAAATGTCTCTTACGAAATTCTAGAACGAAAAAACGTCTTTCTAAGCTATAAAAAGAAGAAGTTCAAAAAGTCGAAAAATTGACATTTTTCCAAAGGGGTTAACCCATGGTTTTTGTCCAAAAGTGGCCATTTTTCCAATTTTTTTTTATTAGGCAATATAGGCCTGGAAAACGTCTTTCATGATATTCTAGAACGAAAAAACGCCATTTTAGGCTATAAAAACAAGAAGTTCAAAAAGTCGAAAAATTGACATTTTTTCGAAGGGGTTAACCCATGGTTTTGGTCCAAAAATGGCCATTTTTTCAACTTTTTTTTTTTTAGGCAATATAGGCCAGGAAATTATCTTTTATGATATTGTAGAGAAAAAAAACGCCTTTCTAGGCTATAAAAACAAGAAGTTCAAAAAAGTCGAGAAATTGACATTTTTCCAAAAGGGTTAACCCATGGTTTTGTTCCAAAACTGGCCATTTTTTCAACTTTTTTTTATTAGGCAATATAGGCCTGGAAAACGTCTTTCATGATATTCTAGAACGAAAAAACGCCATTTTAGGCTATAAAACAAGAAGTTCAAAAGTCGAAAAATTGACATTTTTTCGAAGGGTTAACCCATGGTTTTGGTCCAAAATGGCCATTTTTTTCAACTTTTTTTTTTTAGGCAATATAGGCCAGGAAATTATCTTTTATGATATTGTAGAGAAAAAAAAACGCCTTTCTAGGCTATAAAACAAGAAGTTCAAAAAGTCGAGAAATTGACATTTTGCCAAAAGGGTTAACCCATGGTTTTGTTCCAAAACTGGCCATTTTTTCAACTTTTTTTTTATTAGGCAATATAGGCCTGGAAAACGTCTTTCATGATATTCTAGAACGAAAAAACGCCATTTTAGGCTATAAAAACAAGAAGTTCAAAAAGTCGAAAAATTGACATTTTTTCGAAGGGGTTAACCCATGGTTTTGGTTCAAAAATGGTCATTTTTCTAACGTTTCTTTTTAGGCATTATAGGCCAGGAAAATGTCTTTTATGATATTCTAGAACGAAAAAACGCCTTTCAAGGCTATAAAAAGAAGAAGTTCAAAAAGTCAAAAAATTGACATTTTTCCAAAGGGGTTAACACATGGTTTTGGTCCAAAACTAGCCATTTTTTCAACTTCTTTTTTTTTGGTAATATAGGCCAAGAAAATGTCTCTTACGAAATTCTTGAACGAAAAAACGCCTTTCTAGACTATAAAAAGAAGAAGTTCAAAAAGTCGAAAAATTGACATTTTTTCAAAGGGGTTAACCTATGCTTGTGGTCCAAAAATGGCCATTTCTTCAACTTCTTTTATTTTGGCAATATAGGCCAAGAAAATGTCTCTTACGAAATTCTTGAACGAAAAAACGGCTTTTTAGACTATAAAAAAAGAAGTTCAAAAAGTTGAAATATTGACATTTTTCCAAAGGGGTTAACCCATGGTTTTGGTCCAAAAATAGCCATTTTTTCAACTTTTTTTTAAGGCAATATAGGTCAGGAAAATGTCTTTTATGATATTCTAGAGACAAAAAACGCCTTTTTAGGGTATAAAAACAGGAAGTTGAAAACAGTCGAAAAATTCACATTTTTCCAAAGGGGTTAACCCATGGTTATGGTCCAAAAATGGCCATTTTTCCCACTTTTTTTTTTTTTAGGCAATATAGGCCAGGAAATTGTCTTTTATGATATTAGAGAACGAAAAAACGCCTTTCAAGGCCTTAAAAACAAGAAGTTCAAAAAGTGGAAAACTTGAAGTTTTTCCAAAGAGGTTAACCCATGGTTTTGGTCGAAAAATGGCCATTTTTCCAATTTTTTTTATTAGGCACAATAGCCCAGGAAAACGTCTTTTATGATATTCTAGAGACAAAAAACGCCTTTCTAGGCTATAAAAAGAAGAAGTTCAAAAAGTCGAAAAATTAACATTTTTGCTAAGGGGTTAACTCATGGTTTTGGTCCAAAAATGGCCATTTTTACCACTTTTTTTTTTAGGCAATATAGGCCAAGAAAATGTCTTTTATGATATTCTAGAACGAAAAAACGTCTTTCTAGGCTATAAAAACAAGAAATTCAAAAAGTCGAAAAATTGACATTTCTCCAAAGGGGTTACCCCATGGTTTTGGTTCAAAAATGGCCAATTTTCTAACGTTTCTTTTTAGGCATTATAGGCCAGGAAAATGTCTTTTATGATATTCTAGAACGAAAAAACGCCTTTCAAGGCTATAAAAAGAAGAAGTTCAAAAAGTCGAAAAATTGACATTTTTCCAAAGGGGTTAACCCATGCTTTTGGTCCAAAACTAGCCATTTTTTCAACTTCTTTCTCTTTGGCAATATAGGCCAAGAAAATGTCTCTTACGAAATTCTTGAACGAAAAAACGCCTTTCTAGACTATAAAAAGAAGAAGTTCAAAAAGTCGAAAAATTGATATTTTCCCAAAGGGGTTAACCCATGGTTTTTGTCCAAAAATGTAGATTTCTCCAATTTTTTTTTATTCCGCAATATAGGCGAGGAAAACGTCTTTTATGATATTCTAGAACGAAAAAACGCCTTTTTAGGCTATAAAAACAAGAAGTTCAAAAAGTCGAAAAATTGACATTTTTTCAAAGCGGTTAACCCATGGTTTTGGTCCAAAAATAGCCATTTTTTAAACTTTTTTTTAAGGCAATATCGGCCAGGAAAATGTCTTTTATGATATTATAGAGCGAAAAAACGCCTTTCAAGGCTATAAAAACAAGAAGTTGAAACAATCGAAAAATTGACGTTTTTCCAAAGGGGTTAACCCATGGTTTTGGTCCGAAAATAGCCATTTTTCCAATTTTTTTTATTAGGCAAAATAGCCCAGGAAAACGTCTTTTATGATGTTCTAGAGACAAAAAACGCCTTTCTAGGCTATAAAAACAAAAAGTTCAAAAAGTTGAAAAATTGACATTTTTGCAAAGGGGTTAACCCATGGTTTTGGTCCAAAAATGGCCATTTTTTCAACTTTTTTTTTTTGGCAATACAGGCCAGGAAAATGTCTCTTACGAAATTCTAGAACGAAAAAACGCCTTTCAAGGCTATAAAAGAAGAAGTTCAAAAAGTCGAAAAATTGACATTTTTCCAAAGGGGTTAACCCATGCTTTTGGTCCAAAACTAGCCATTTTTTCAACTTCTTTCTCTTTGGCAATATAGGCCAAGAAAATGTCTCTTACGAAATTCTTGAACGAAAAAACGCCTTTCTAGACTATAAAAAAGAAGAAGTTCAAAAAGTCGAAAAATTGATATTTTCCCAAAGGGGTTAACCCATGGTTTTTTGTCCAAAAATGTAGATTTCTCCAATTTTTTTTTTTATTCCGCAATATAGGCGAGGAAAACGTCTTTTATGATATTCTAGAACGAAAAAACGCCTTTTTAGGCTATAAAAACAAGAAGTTCAAAAAGTCGAAAAATTGACATTTTTTCAAAGCGGTTAACCCATGGTTTTGGTCCAAAAATAGCCATTTTTTAAACTTTTTTTTAAGGCAATATCGGCCAGGAAAATGTCTTTTATGATATTATAGAGCGAAAAAACGCCTTTCAAGGCTATAAAAACAAGAAGTTCAAACAATCGAAAAATTGACGTTTTTCCAAAGGGGTTAACCCATGGTTTTGGTCCGAAAATAGCCATTTTTCCAATTTTTTTTATTAGGCAAAATAGCCCAGGAAAACGTCTTTTATGATGTTCTAGAGACAAAAAACGCCTTTCTAGGCTATAAAAACAAAAAGTTCAAAAAGTTGAAAAATTGACATTTTTGCAAAGGGGTTAACCCATGGTTTTGGTCCAAAAATGGCCATTTTTTCAACTTTTTTTTTTTGGCAATACAGGCCAGGAAAATGTCTCTTACGAAATTCTAGAACGAAAAAACGTCTTTCTAAGCTATAAAAAGAAGAAGTTCAAAAAGTCGAAAAATTGACATTTTTCCAAAGGGGTTAACCCATGGTTTTTGTCCAAAAGTGGCCATTTTTCCAATTTTTTTTTATTAGGCAATATAGGCCTGGAAAACGTCTTTCATGATATTCTAGAACGAGAAAACGCCATTTTAGGCTATAAAAACAAGAAGTTCAAAAAGTCGAAAAATTGACATTTTTTCGAAGGGGTTAACCCATGGTTTTGGTCCAAAAATGGCCATTTTTTCAACTTTTTTTTTTTTAGGCAATATAGGCCAGGAAATTATCTTTTATGATATTGTAGAGAAAAAAAACGCCTTTCTAGGCTATAAAAACAAGAAGTTCAAAAAAGTCGAGAAATTGACATTTTTCCAAAAGGGTTAACCCATGGTTTTGTTCCAAAACTGGCCATTTTTTCAACTTTTTTTTTATTAGGCAATATAGGCCTGGAAAACGTCTTTCATGATATTCTAGAACGAAAAAACGCCATTTTAGGCTATAAAAACAAGAAGTTCAAAAAGTCGAAAAATTGACATTTTTTCGAAGGGGTTAACCCATGGTTTTGGTTCAAAAATGGTCATTCTTCTAACGTTTCTTTTTAGGCATTATAGGCCAGGAAAATGTCTTTTATGATATTCTAGAACGAAAAAACGCCTTTCAAGGCTATAAAAAGAAGAAGTTCAAAAAGTCAAAAAATTGACATTTTTCCAAAGGGGTTAACACATGGTTTTGGTCCAAAACTAGCCATTTTTTCAACTTCTTTTTTTTTGGTAATATAGGCCAAGAAAATGTCTCTTACGAAATTCTTGAACGAAAAAACGCCTTTCTAGACTATAAAAAGAAGAAGTTCAAAAAGTCGAAGAATTGACATTTTTTCAAAGAGGTTAACCTATGCTTGTGGTCCAAAAATGGCCATTTCTTCAACTTCTTTTATTTTGGCAATATAGGCCAAGAAAATGTCTCTTACGAAATTCTTGAACGAAAAAACGGCTTTTTTAGACTATAAAAAAAGAAGTTCAAAAAGTTGAAATATTGACATTTTTCCAAAGGGGTTAACCCATGGTTTTGGTCCGAAAATAGCCATTTTTTCAACTTTTTTTAAAGGCAATATAGGTCAGGAAAATGTCTTTTATGATATTCTAGAGACAAAAAACGCCTTTTTAGGGTATAAAAACAGGAAGTTGAAAACAGTCGAAAAATTCACATTTTTCCAAAGGGGTTAACCCATGGTTATGGTCCAAAAATGGCCATTTTTCCCACTTTTTTTTTTTTTAGGCAATATAGGCCAGCAAATTGTCTTTTATGATATTAGAGAACGAAAAAACGCCTTTCAAGGCCTTAAAAACAAGAAGTTCAAAAAGTGGAAAAATTGACGTTTTTCCAAAGAGGTTAACCCATGGTTTTGGTCGAAAAATGGCCATTTTTCCAATTTTTTTTATTAGGCACAATAGCCCAGGAAAACGTCTTTTATGATATTCTAGAGACAAAAAACGCCTTTCTAGGCTATAAAAAGAAGAAGTTCAAAAAGTCGAAAAATTAACATTTTTGCTAAGGGGTTAACTCATGGTTTTGGTCCAAAAATGGCCATTTTTACCACTTTTTTTTTTAGGCAATATAGGCCAAGAAAATGTCTTTTATGATATTCTAGAACGAAAAAACGTCTTTCTAGGCTATAAAAACAAGAAATTCAAAAAGTCGAAAAATTGACATTTCTCCAAAGGGGTTACCCCATGGTTTTGGTTCAAAAATGGCCAATTTTCTAGCGTTTCTTTTTAGGCATTATAGGCCAGGAAAATGTCTTTTATGATATTCTAGAACGAAAAAACGCCTTTCAAGGCTATAAAAAGAAGAAGTTCAAAAAGTCGAAAAATTAACATTTTTCCAAAGGGGTTAACCCATGCTTTTGGTCCAAAACTAGCCATTTTTTCAACTTCTTTCTCTTTGGCAATATAGGCCAAGAAAATGTCTCTTACGAAATTCTTGAACGAAAAAACGCCTTTCTAGACTATAAAAAGAAGAAGTTCGAAAAGTCGAAAAATTGATATTTTCCCAAAGGGGTTAACCCATGGTTTTTGTCCAAAAATGTAGATTTCTCCAATTTTTTTTATTCCGCAATATAGGCGAGGAAAACGTGTTTTATGATATTCTAGAACGAAAAAACGCCTTTTTAGGCTATAAAAACAAGAAGTTCAAAAGTCGAAAAATTGACATTTTTTCAAAGCGGTTAACCCATGGTTTTGGTCCAAAAATAGCCATTTTTAAACTTTTTTAAGGCAATATCGGCCAGGAAAATGTCTTTTATGATATTATAGAGCGAAAAAAACGCCTTTCAAGGCTATAAAACAAGAAGTTCAAACAATCGAAAAATTGACGTTTTTCCAAAGGGGTTAACCCATGGTTTTGGTCCGAAAATAGCCATTTTTCCATTTTTTTTTATTAGGCAAAATAGCCCAGGAAAACGTCTTTTATGATGTTCTAGAGACAAAAAAACGCCTTTCTAGGCTATAAAAACAAAAGTTCAAAAAGTTGAAAAATTGACATTTTTGCAAAGGGGTTAACCCATGGTTTTGGTCCAAAAATGGCCATTTTTTCAACTTTTTTTTTTTGGCAATACAGGCCAGGAAAATGTCTCTTACGAAATTCTAGAACGAAAAAACGTCTTTCTAAGCTATAAAAAGAAGAAGTTCAAAAAGTGGAAAAATTGACATTTTTCCAAAGGGGTTAACCCATGGTTTTTGTCCAAAAGTGGCCATTTTTCCAATTTTTTTTTTTTAGGCAATATAGGCCAGGAAAATGTCTTTTATAATATTAGAGAACGAAAAAACGCCTTTCAAGGCCTTAAAAACAAAAAGTTCAAAAAGTGGAAAAATTGACGTTTATCCAAAGAGGTTAACCCATGGTTTTGGTCCAAAAATGGCCATTTTTTCAACTTTTTTTTTTTTAGGCAATATAGGCCAGGAAATTATCTTTTATGATATTGTAGAGAAAAAAAACGCCTTTCTAGGCTATAAAAACAAGAAGTTCAAAAAAGTCGAGAAATTGACATTTTTCCAAAAGGGTTAACCCATGGTTTTGTTCCAAAACTGGCCATTTTTTCAACTTTTTTTTTTTAGGCAATATAGGCCAGGAAAATGTCTTTTATGATATTCTAGAGACAAAAACCGCCTTTCAAGGCTATAAAAAGAAGAAGTTCAAAAAGTCGAAAAATTGACATTTTTCCAAAGGGGTTAACCCATGGTTTTGGTTCAAAAATCGTCATTTTTCTAACGTTTCTTTTTAGGCATTATAGGCCAGGAAAATGTCTTTTATGATATTCTAGAACGAAAAAACGCCTTTCAAGGCTATAAAAAGAAGAAGTTCAAAAAGTCAAAAAATTGACATTTTTCCAAAGGGGTTAACACATGGTTTTGGTCCAAAACTAGCCATTTTTTCAACTTCTTTTTTTTTGGTAATATAGGCCAAGAAAATGTCTCTTACGAAATTCTTGAACGAAAAAACGCCTTTCTAGACTATAAAAAGAAGAAGTTCAAAAAGTCGAAAAATTGACATTTTTTCAAAGAGGTTAACCTATGCTTGTGGTCCAAAAATGGCCATTTCTTCAACTTCTTTTATTTTGGCAATATAGGCCAAGAAAATGTCTCTTACGAAATTCTTGAACGAAAAAACGGCTTTTTTAGACTATAAAAAAAGAAGTTCAAAAAGTTGAAATATTGACATTTTTCCAAAGGGGTTAACCCATGGTTTTGGTCCAAAAATAGCCATTTTTTCAACTTTTTTTTTTAAGGCAATATAGGCCAGGAAAATGTCTTTTATGATATTCTAGAGACAAAAACCGCCTTTCAAGGCTATAAAAAGAAGAAGTTCAAAAAGTCGAAAAATTGACATTTTTCCAAAGGGGTTAACCCATGGTTTTGGTTCAAAAATCGTCATTTTTCTAACGTTTCTTTTTAGGCATTATAGGCCAGGAAAATGTCTTTTATGATATTCTAGAACGAAAAAACGCCTTTCAAGGCTATAAAAAGAAGAAGTTCAAAAAGTCAAAAAATTGACATTTTTCCAAAGGGGTTAACACATGGTTTTGGTCCAAAACTAGCCATTTTTTCAACTTCTTTTTTTTTGGTAATATAGGCCAAGAAAATGTCTCTTACGAAATTCTTGAACGAAAAAACGCCTTTCTAGACTATAAAAAGAAGAAGTTCAAAAAGTCGAAAAATTGACATTTTTTCAAAGAGGTTAACCTATGCTTGTGGTCCAAAAATGGCCATTTCTTCAACTTCTTTTATTTTGGCAATATAGGCCAAGAAAATGTCTCTTACGAAATTCTTGAACGAAAAAACGGCTTTTTTAGACTATAAAAAAAGAAGTTCAAAAAGTTGAAATATTGACATTTTTCCAAAGGGGTTAACCCATGGTTTTGGTCCAAAAATAGCCATTTTTTCAACTTTTTTTTTTAAGGCAATATAGGCCAGGAAAATGTCTTTTATGATATTCTAGAGACAAAAAACGCCTTTTTAGGGTATAAAAACAAGAAGTTGAAAACAGTCGAAAAATTCACATTTTTCCAAAGGGGGTAACCCATGGTTTTGGTCCAAAAATGGCCATTTTTCCACCTTTTTTTTTTTTAGGCAATATAGGCCAGGAAATTGTCTTTTATAATATTAGAGAACGAAAAAACGCCTTTCAAGGCCTTAAAAACAAAAAGTTCAAAAAGTGGAAAAATTGACGTTTATCCAAAGAGGTTAACCCATGGTTTTGGTCCAAAAATGGCCATTTTTCCCACTTTTTTTTTTTTTGGGCAATATAGGCCAGGAAATTGTTTTTTATGATATTAGAGAACGAAAAAACGCCTTTCAAGGCCTTAAAAACAAGAAGTTCAAAAAGTGCAAAAATTGACGTTTTTCCAAAGAGGTTAACCCATGGTTTTGGTCGAAAAATGGCCATTTTTCCAATTTTTTTTATTAGGCACAATAGCCCAGGAAAACGTCTTTTATGATATTCTAGAGACAAAAAACGCCTTTCTAGGCTATAAAAAGAAGAAGTTCAAAAAGTCGAAAAATTAACATTTTTGCAAAGGGGTTAACCCATGGTTTTTGTCCGAAAATGGCCATTTTTCCAATTTTTTTTATTAGGCAATATAGGCCAGGAAAATGTCTTTTATGATATTCTAGAACGAAAAAACGCCTTTCCAGGCTATAAAAACAAGAAGTTCAAAAAGTCGAAAAGTTAACATTTTTGCAAAGGGGTTAACCCATGGTTTTCGTCCGAAAATGGCCATTTTTCCAATTTTTTTTATTAGGCAATATAGGCCTGGAAAACGTCTTTTATGATATTCTAGAACGAAAAAACGTCTTTCTAGGCTATAAAAACAAGAAATTTAAAAAGTCGAAAAATTGACATTTCTCCAAAGGGGTTACCCCACGGTTTTGGTTCAAAAATGGCCAATTTTCTAACGTTTCTTTTTAGGCATTATAGGCCAGGAAAATGTCTTTTATGATATTCTAGAACGAAAAAACGCCTTTTTAGGCTATAAAAACAACAAGATCAAAAAGTCGAAAAATTGACATTTTTTCAAAGAGGTTAACCTATGGTTGTGGTCCAAAAATGGCATTTTTTTACAACTCTTTTTTTTTTGGCAATATAGGCCAAGAAAATGGATCTTACAAAATTCTTGAACGAAAAAACGGCTTTTTTAGACTATAAAAAAAGAAGTTCAAAAAGTTGAAATATTGACATTTTTCCAAAGGGGTTAACCCATGGTTTTGGTCCAAAAATAGTCATTTTTTCAACTTTTTATTTAAGGCAATATAGGCCAGGAAAATGTCTTTTATGATATTCTAGAGACAAAAAACGCCTTTTCAGGGTATAAAAACAAGAAGTTGAAAAGAGTCGAAAAATTGACATTTTTCCAAACGGGTTAACCCATGGTTTTGGTCCAAAAATGGCCATTTTTCCCACTTTTTTTTTAGGCAATATAGACCAGGAAAATGTCTTTTATGATATTAGAGAACGAAAAAACGCCTTTTAAGGCTATGAAAACAAGAAGTTCAAAAAGTCGAAAAATTGACGTTTTTCCAAAGGGGTTAACCCATGGTTTTGGTCCGAAAATGGCCATTTTTCCAATTTTTTTTATTAGGCAAAATAGCCCAGGAAAACGTCTAATATGATATTCTAGAGACAAAAAACGCCTTTCTAGGCTATAAAAACAAGAAGGTCAAAAAGTCGAAAAATTGACATTTTTGCAAAGGGGTTAACCCATGGTTTTGGTCCAAAAATGGCCATTTTTTCCCCTTTTTTTTTTTTAGGCAATATTGGCCAGGAAAATGTCTTTTATGATATTATAGAACGAAAAAACGCCTTTCTAGGCTATAAAAAGAAGAAGTTCAAAAAGTCGAAAAATTGACATTTTTTAAAAGGGGTTAACCCATGGTTTTTGTCCAAAAATGGCCATTTTTTCAACTTTTTGTTTTGGCAATATAGGGCAGGAAAATGTCTCTTACGAAATTCTAGAACGAAAAAACGCCTTTCTAAGCTAGAAAAAGAAGAAGTTCAAAAAGTCGAAAAATTGACATTTTCCCAAAGGGGTTAACCCATGGTTTTTGTCCAAAAGTGGCCATTTTTCCAATTTTTTTTTTATTAGCCAATATCGGCCTGGAAAATGTCTTTTACGATATTCTAGAACGAAAAAACGCCTTTCTAGGCCATAAAAACAAGAACTTTTAAAAAGTCGAAAAATTGACATTTCTCCAAAGGCGTTAACCTATGCTTTTGGTCAAAAAATGGCCATTTTGTCAAGTTTTTATTAGGCCATATAGGCCAGGAAAACGTCTTTTATGATATTCTAGAAAGAAAAAATGCCTTACTAGGCTATAAAAACAAGAAGTTCAAAAAGTCGAAAAATTGACATTTTTTAAAAGGGGTTAACCCATGGTTTTTGTCCAAAAATGGCCTTTTTTCAACTTTTGTTTTTTGGGAATATAGGGCAGGAAAATGTCTCTTACGAAATTCTAGTACGAAAAAACGCTTTTCTTAGCTAGAAAAAGAAGAAGTTCAAAAAGTCGAGAAATTGACATTTTCTCAAAGGGGTTAACCCATGGTTTTTGTCCAAAAGTGGCCATTTTTCCAATTTTTTTTTATAAGCCAATATAGGCCTGGAAAACGTCTTTTATGATATTCTAGAACAAAAAAACGCCTTTTAAGGCTATAAAAACAAGAAGTTCAAAAAGTCGAAAAATTGACATTTTTCCAAAGGGGTTAACCCATGGTTTTAGTCCAAAAATGGCCATTTTTTCAACTCTTTTTTTTAGGCTATTTAGGCGAGCAAATTATCTTTTATGATATTGTAGAGAGAAAAAACGCCTTTCTAGGCTATAAAAACAAGAAGTTCAAAAAAGTTGAGAAATTGCCATTTTTCGAAAGGGGTTAACCCATGGTTTTGTTCCAAAACTAGCCATTTTTTCAACTTTTTTTTTTTAGGCAATATAGGCCAGGAAAATGTCTTTTATGATATTCTAGAGACAAAAAACGCCTTTCAAGGCTATAAAAAGAAGAAGTTCAAACCGTCGAAAAATTGACATTTTTCCAAAGGGGTTAACCCATAGTTTTGGTTCAAAAATGGCCATTTTTCCCACTTTTTTTTTTTAGGAAATATAGGCCTGGAAAACGTCTTTTATGATATTCTAGAACGGAAAAACGTCTTTCTAGGCTATAAAAACAAGAAGTTCAAAAACTCGAAAATTTGACATTTTTCCAAAGGGGTTAACCGATGGTTTTGTTCCAAAACTAGCCATTTTTTCAACTTTTTTTTTTTAAGCAAAATAGCCCAGGAAAACGTCTTTTATGATATTCTAGAGACAAAAAACGCCTTTCTAATCTATAAAAACAAGAAGTTCAAAAAGTCGAAAAATTGACATTTTTGCAAAGGGGTTAACCCATGGTTTTGGTCCAAAAATGGCCATTTTTCCCACCTTTTTTTTTAGGCAATATAGGCCAGGAAAATGTCTTTTATGATATTATAGAAGGAAAAAACGCCTTTCAAGGCAACAAAACAAGAAGTTCAAAAAGTGGAAAAATTGACGTTTTTCAAAAGGGGTTAAGCCATGGTTTTCCTGCGAAAAGAGCCATTTTTCGAATTTTCTTTGTTAGGCAAAATAGGCCAGGAAAACGTTTTTTATGATATTCTAGAACAAAAAAATCGCGTTTCTAGGTTATAAAAACAAGAAGTTCAAAAAGTCGAAAATTGACATTTTTCCAAAGGGGTTAACCCGTGGTTTTGGTCCAAAAATGGCGATTTTTTCAACTTTTTTTTTTAGGCAATATAGGCCAGGAAAATATCTTTTATGATATTCTAGAACGAAAAAACGCCTTCTTAGGCTATGAAAAGAAGAAGTTCAAAAAGTCGAAAAATTGCCTTTCGCCAAAGGGGTTAAACCATGGTTTTTGTCTGAAAATGGCTATTTTTGCAACGTTTTTCTTTAGGCAATAAAAACCAGGAAAATGTCTTTCATGATATTCTAGAGCAAAAAAAGGCGTTTGTAGGCTATAAAAACAACAAGTTTAAAAAAGTCGAAAAATTGACATTTTTCCAAAGGGGTTAACCCATTGTTTCGGTTAAAAAATGGCCATTTTTTCACTTCTTTATTTTAAGGCAATATAGGCCAGGAAAATGTCTTTTTAATATTCTAGAGACAAAAAACGCCTTTATAGGGTATAAAAACAACAAGTTGAAAACAGTCGAAAAATTGACATTTTTCCAAACGGGTTAACCCATGGTTTTGGTCCAAAAATGGCCATTTTTCCCACTTTTTTTTTTAGGTAATATAGGCCAGGAAAATGTCTTTTATGATATTCTTGAACGAAAAAACGCCTTTTAAGGCTATTAAAACAAGAAGTTCAAAAAGTCGAAAAATTGACGTTTTTCCAAAGGGGTTAACCCATGGTTTTGGTCCGAAAATTTCCATTTTTCCAATTTTTTTTATTAGGCAAAATAGCCCAGGAAAACGTCTTTTATGATGTTCTAGAGACAAAAAACGCCTTTATAGGCTATAAAAACAAGAAGTTCAAAAAGTCGAAAAATTGACATTTTTGCAAAGGGGTTAACCCATGGTTTTGGTCCAAAAATGGCCATTTTCCCCACTTTTTTTTTGGGCAATATAGGCCAGAAAAATGTCTCTTACGAAATTCTTGAACGAAAAAACGCCTTTCTAGGCTATAAAAAGAAGAAGTTCAAAAAGTCGAAAAATTGACATTTTTTAAAAGGGGTTAACCCATGGTTTTTGTCCAAAAATGGCCATTTTTTCAACTTTTTTTTTTGGGAATATAGGGCAGGAAAATGTCTCTTACGAAATTCTAGAACGAAAAAACGCCTTTCTAAGCTAGAAAAAGAAGAAGTTCAAAAAGTCGAGAAATTGACATTTTCTCAAAGGGGTTAACCCATGGTTTTTGTCCAAAAGTGGCCATTTTTCCAATTTTTTTTTATCAGCCAATATCGGCCTGGAAAACGTCTTTTATGATATTCTAGAACAAAAAAACGCCTTTTAAGGCTATAAAAACAAGAAGTTCAAAAAGTCGAAAAATTGACATTTTTCCAAAGGGGTTAACCCATGGTTTTAGTCCAAAAATGGCCATTTTTTCAACTCTTTTTTTTAGGCTATATAGGCGAGCAAATTATCTTTTATGATATTGTATAGAAGAAAAACGCCTTTCCAGGCTATAAAAACAAGAAGTTCAAAAAAGTTGAGAAATTGCCATTTTTCGAAAGGGGTTAACCCATGGTTTTGTTCCTAAACTAGACATTTTTTCAACTTTTTTTTTTTAGGCAATATAGGCCAGGAAAATGTCTTTTATGATATTCTAGAGACAAAAAACGCCTTTCAAGGCTATAAAAAGAAGAAGTTCAAACCGTCGAAAAATTGACATTTTTCCAAAGGGGTTAACCCATAGTTTTGGTTCAAAAATGGCCATTTTTCCCACTTTTTTTTTTAGGAAATATAGGCCTGGAAAACGTCTTTTATGATATTCTAGAACGAAAAAACGTCTTTCTAGGCTATAAAAACAAGAAGTTCAAAATCTCGAAAAATTGACATTTCTGCAAAGGGGTTAACCCATGGTTTTAGTTCAAAAATGGCCATTTTTTCAACTTTTTTTTTTAGGCAATATAGGCCAGGAAATCATCTTTTATGATATTGTAGAGACAAAAAACGCGTTTCCAGGCTATATAAACAAGAAGTTCAAAAAAGTTGAGAAATTGACATTTTTCCAAAGGGGTTAGCCCATGGTTTTGTTCCAAAACTTGCCATTTTTTCAACTTTTTTTTTATAGGCAAATAGGCCAGGAAAATGTCTTTTATGATATTCTAGAGACAAAAAACGCCTTTCAAGGCTATAGAAAGAAGAAGTTCAATAAGTCGAAAAATTGACATTTTTCCAAAGGGGATAAACCCATGGTTTTGGTTCAAAAATGGCCACTTTTTCAACTTTTTTTTTTAGGCAATATAGGCCTGGAAAACGTCTTTTATGATATTCTAGAACGAAAAAACGTCTTTCTAGGCTATAAAAACAAGAAGTTCAAAAACTCGAAAAATTGACATTTCTCCAAAGGGGTTAACCCATGGTTTTTGTCCAAAAATTGCCATTTTTTCAATTTTTTTTTAGGCAATATAGGCCAGGAAATTATCTTTTATGATATTGTAGAGACAAAAAACGCCTTTCTAGGCTATAAAAACAACAAGTTTAAAAAAGTCGAGAAATTGACATTTTTCCAAAGGGGTTAACCCATGGTTTTGGTCCAAAAATGGCCATTTTTCCCACCTTTTTTTTTAGGCAATATAGGCCAGGAAAATGTCTTTTATGATATTATAGAAGGAAAAAACGCCTTTCAATGCAACAAAACAAGAAGTTCAAAAAGTGGAAAAATTGACGTTTTTCCAAAGGGGTTAAGCCATGGTTTTCCTGCGAAAATAGCCATTTTTCGAATTTTCTTTATTAGGCAAAATAGGCCAGGAAAACGTTTTTTATGATATTCTAGAACAAAAAAATCGCGTTTCTAGGTTATAAAAACAAGAAGTTCAAAAAGTCGAAAATTGACATTTTTCCAAAGGGGTTAACCCGTGGTTTTGGTCCAAAAATGGCGATTTTTTCAACTTTTTTTTTTAGGCAATATAGGCCAGGAAAATATCTTTTATGATATTCTAGAACGAGAAAATGCCTTCTTAGGCTATGAAAAGAAGAAGTTCAAAAAGTCGAAAAATTGCGTTTCGCCAAAGGGGTTAACCCATGGTTTTTGTCTGAAAATGGCTATTTTTGCAACGTTTTTTTTTAGGCAATATAGGCCAGGAAAATGTCTTTCATGATATTCTAGAGCAAAAAAAGGCGTTTGTAGGCTATAAAAAGAACAAGTTTAAAAAAGTCGAAAAATTGACATTTTTCCAAAGGGGTTAACCCATTGTTTCGGTTAAAAAATGGCCATTTTTTCACTTCTTTATTTTAAGGCAATATAGGCCAGGAAAATGTCTTTTTAATATTCTAGAGACAAAAAACGCCTTTATAGGGTATAAAAACAACAAGTTGAAAACAGTCGAAAAATTGACATTTTTCCAAACGGGTTAACCCATGGTTTTGGTCCAAAAATGGCCATTTTTCCCACTTTTTTTTTTAGGCAATATAGGGCAGGAAAATGTCTTTTATGATATTCTAGAACGAAAAAACGCCTTTTAAGGCTATTAAAACAAGAAGTTCAAAAAGTCGAAAAATTGACGTTTTTCCAAAGGGGTTAACCCATGGTTTTCGTCCGAAAATGGCCATTTTTCGCATTTTTTTTATTAGGCTAAATAGCCCAGGAAAACGTCTTTTATGATGTTCTAGAGACATTTTTCCAAAGGGGTTAACCCATGGTTTTTGTTTAAAAACGGCGATTTTTTGAACTTTTTTTTTTTTAGGCAATATAGGCCAGGAAAATGCTTTTAGGAAATTCTAGAACAAAAAAACGCCTTTCTAGGCTATAAAAACAAGAAGTTCAAAAAGTCGAAAAATTGACATTTTGACAAATGTCTTTTTTGATATCCTAGAACGAAAAAACGCCTTTCTAGGCTATAAAAAGAAGAAGTTGAAAAAGTTAATAAATTGGGATTTTCCAAAAGGGTTTAGTCCATGGTTTTGGTCAAAAATTTTTAATTTTTCCATTTTTTTATTTTAGGCAAAATACACGAGGAAAGTGTGTTTTAATATATTCTAGAAAGAAAAAAGGTTTTCTAGACTATAAAAACAACAAGTTAAAAAAGTCGAAAAATCGGGATTTTTCTAAAGGGGTTAGTCCATGGTTCTGGTCAAAAGTTGGCCATTTTTCCATTTTTTTATTTTAGGCAAAATACGGCAGGAAAATGTCTTTCAAGGTATTATAGAAAGAAAAAAATGCCTTTTTAGAGTATAAAAACAACAAGTTGAAAAAAGTCGAAAAATTCTGAATTTCCCAAAGGGGTTAGTCCATGGTTTTGATCAAAAATTGCAAATTTCTCCATTTTTTTATTTGAGGCAAAATACGCCAGGAAAATGTGTTTCAAGATATACTAGAAAGAAAAAAAGCCTTTCTTGACAATAAAATCAACGATTTTAAAAAGTCGAGGAAAGGAATTTTTCTGAAGGGGTTAGTCCATGGTTCTGGTCAAAAATTGGCAATTTTTCAATTTTTTTATTTTAGGCAAAATACGCCAGGAAAATGTGTTTTCAAGGTATTCTAGGAAGAAAAAATACCTTTCTAGATTATAAAAACAAGAAGTTAAAAAAGTCGTAGAATGAGGATTTTTCTTAAGGGGTTAGTCCATGGGTTTGGTCAAAAAGTGGCAATTTTTCCGTTTTTTAGTTTAGGCAAAATAGGGCAGGAAAATGTGTTTCACCATATTCTAGAAAGAAAAGAAGTCCTTTCTAGCCTATGAAAACAACTTTAAAACTTCTACAAATTGGGATTTTTCCAAGGTTAGTCCATGGTTTGGTTAAAAAGTGGCAATTTTTCCAGCTTAAGTTTGTAGTTTAGGCAAAATAGGCCAGGAAAATTTGTTTCACGATATTCTAGAGAGAAAAAACGGGTTAACCCCCTTGGAAAATTCCGTGTTTGGGACTTTGAAAAATGAACATTTTTATAGAAAAGAAGGGCATCTTTTTTATCTAGAACAGCACTTTGTACATATTCTGGCTTTATTTCAAGGAAAAAATAAAGAAAGAAAATATTGAATTTTTTGGCGAAAATCATGGGTTACACCTTTTGGAATAATCCAAATAAGAATAATAATATTACGTAAACAAAAATTGAAATTTTTGACCAAAATCATGGGTAACCAGAAGGTAGTCCAGAAAGACTTCATTTTTGTCGAGAACATCATGCAACATGATTTTTTTTCCTGATTCAGTTGTCTTTAATAGTAGGACTCCGTTCCAGGAGACAGTGTTTATGGCCCTGTTATAAAATCTATTTGCTTCCCTGGTAAAATAAAGAAACACACAAAGCCACTTTCACTCTCAGTTTATTGCTGTCTTTGTGAGTTAGCCTGAAATTCATCCGATTGCTTCGAGTAGTTTTCTGAGGGAGTAATAACGACTCGAAGTAATCGGATGAAATTCAGGCTATTTGTGAGTAAGATTAAATTTAAAACGAAATGCAAACAGTTTCAACGCTTATTTTTGGCAGTCAAAGTTCGGTAACCGTTACCTGAAATGCGGTTGCAGAATAACAGCTGGGTTAAGAACCTGTCCATTCGTCCATTTGCCTCTAGTAGGAAAATGCCAGGCCAGCTGTACCCCACTTCAAAGGTATCCTGGGCTTGACCAAGAAGCAATGAGTTACCTACTGAAATTGCTCATGGAATAATCAAGATACCTTGAGCCCAAGAAAATGACATAGAAATATTGATAAGTATCTGGACACTTGAGATAATAATTATTTCCAAGAGTGCTGGATCACAACATTAAGTCCTTTTGCTGGATTGAATGAATACTGCAAAATGTCGTTGACCTGCAAATAGGCATTGTAAGTTGATTACACACTTTTATATATGCTTTACTGGGAAATAAATACATGCTGTTCCTATTGAGGAATTCTGATAAGAGACAAGTTTCGTGGTTGTAGATGTACAGTGAGTCACTAGACTCTTTGCACCAACAGAAATGTATTTCTTTAAAGGGAGCTCTGCAGGACTGAGGTAGTTTCCACTAAACATTAAGTAACTTTCAGACTCAGCAGGAGATTCTGTCTTTGTCTCATTTATCAACTGACACAGATAAGGGATGTTGTGGAAGAATAATGCCAAAAACCATGGCAATTTACGACCTGAATCGGTGAAGAACATGCTGAAAAATGAGGAATAAAAAAATCCTTAGTAAATAAATTTAATTAAAAATACATAACTAATACTTGTGTTATTAGCTACAATCGGCGACAAAATTGTTGAGACATTGTACTCAAATACAGTAACTTCAGAGAACATAAGAATCTACACCCCTCCCCTATCCCCTCTACTCAAAGTTGGAATGTTTCTTGTTTTCTAAAGGTAGCTCGAACAGTGGCACAACATTGCATGGAGGGGATGGGGGAGGAAAAGCTATCTTTTCCCCTTTTGAAGTCCAGAAAACGTCAAAAAGCCCATTTAGGGCGAAGTGTCTCAACTCATTTTGTCGTCGATTGTAGCTTAACCATGAGCTTTTGAAAGCTAGGAAAGAAAAATAAAAGAACAAAGAAATTAAGTCTTACCAGCAATCCATCTTATTATCCATTTTACTTCTTCTCCAGCTGAGCTCTGCTTTCCTGCTAATGACAGACCAGCAAATTATTGATGTAGCTGTACCAGGGGATGCTAAGGTGGAACGGAAGGAGAAAGAGAAGATTGATAAATATCAAGACCTGGCAAAAGAATTGAGAAAACTATGGAAAGTCAAAACAAGAGTTGTGCCTATTGTTATTGGTGCTCTTAGGACAATCCCAATAAAGGATTAGTTGGCCAAATTGAAAGATTAGGGGTGAATCTTGATGTGGCTCAGATTCAAAAGACTGCCCTATTAAGAACAGTTCGAAATCTTTGACGGTGTCTGGACTACTAAGGTTGTGTATAGGACTTGTACCAGGGCTGGCTACCAGTTGCACCCCAGGGGCCCCACTGAAATATTTTAATGATGGGGGTCCGACAGAGGTTCATATTTTATACCCAAAAAAATCCCAACTTCAGAATTTGTCTACCCAAAAAAATCCCTACTTTTTTTAGCATACCCAAAAAAATCCCTCCGTTTACTTTGTATACAGTGTTTCCATTGTGGTCTTGATGACTGGCTTGAAAGACCTTGAATTACGTGACCTGTTGAATAGTTCTCTCTGGATAAGATGCGCGTGGAGTGCCGGTAATTACTTTTCAAATAGATTATGATCTCAGAAATATCCCGTAATACCACACAAGCAGTAAATTGCGTTTATGTTATTGTTGATTTGAGCTGATGAAAAATACAATACCCAAACAAATCCCTGTGTTGTTTTCGCGACCCAAAAAAATCCAAGCGTCTTTCATAGACCCAAAAAAATCCCTTTTGGCCAAAATGTCAGACCCCAAAAAATCCTTCGGACCCCTCCGTCATTAAAATATGTGAGTGGGGTCCCTAGGAGTTGAACATTATGCATCATCATCATCATAATAATAGTAATAATAATAATAATAATAATAATAATTTGTACAGCATTTAGTCCAGTTCTGCTTTAGGTGCTTTAAGTCAATCAATTGATAAAAATAAAATAGTCAGAGTAACAACGTCATGCTTTGTAAAAAGGTAAGTTCTTAAATTGTTACATGAAAAGCCATTGTTTAGTAACTGTTCCAGTGGCCAGGAGGAGATAAAATAAAAACAACAAAGTTGCTTACCACCAAACTATGGCACTTTCAAAATCTGGAGGACTAGATAACAGTCAAACTTCTCCATTTCAGCTCAGCTATCTACTTTGGGGCAGACCAGTTATCTTCAAACAACCTTACTATTAACTTCAAAGAAAGATAGAAAAGATGAAAAAAGATTTTTAAATCGATGTGTTCCAGCATTAAATGTATTATTCAAGGTGAAAATGAAATTCTTGTTCCTTCAAATCCTGCCAGTCCACTGATGACGATCAAGCAATAACTGTAAAGGAACAGTTGAAGTATGAGTAGTGACTGAGTAAGAGTGTTGAGTGTCCTCGATTTCCTGGAGTTGGGTGGTGGGTTTCTCCAATTGCCAGGTTGACATCACAGAAAAAGGGCAGGCATTAAAGATGCACTTGTAGTTGAACATTACAAATAGGGAAGAACAGTTGCATGAGTTTTTAGGTTTCCTCACTTACGGGTTTATTGATTGACCGGCTTTATGATATCTGATCTCTTGTGTTATGCAGATTAAGTGATACCGGTCTCTGCTGAAACAGTTCATCAGCAAAACACCACAGACTACACCTTCCACAAGTTCAGTTTTCATTGAAATCCGGCCATACACAAGCATCCAGCCACCGTAAGGAATCCAATCTCATACAACTAGTATCTTCCATAAGTTTCCAGTCTGGTATCTGGAATGTATGGGGCACACATATAGTCAGTATGAGCCCTGACTGGGAAGGCACGTTGGGTATCCTGAACTTCCTGGAGTTGGGTGGTGGGTTTCTCTAATTGCCAGGTTGACATCACAGCAAAAAGGGCAGGCATCAGGGATGCACTTGTAGTTAAACACTACAAATAGGGAAGAACATGTAGCATGAGTTTTTATACTTGCTGGTTTATTGGTTGACCGGTTCTATGATATCTGAAGACTTGAGTTATGCAGATTAAGTGATGCTGGCTTCTGCCAAAACAGTTCATCGGCTAAACACCACTACAGCTTCCACAAGTTCAGTTTCCATTGGAATCCGGCCATACACAAGCATCCAGCCACTGTGAGGAATCCAATCTCATGTACAAGTAGTATCTTCCATGACCATAAGTTTCCATTCTGGTATCTGGAATGTATGAGGCAGACTTCAGGGATGCAGAAGTGGATCGATGATCACAAGTGTAGCAGATCAGTCAGTATGAGTACTGACTCATTAGGCATGTTGGGTATCCTGGATTTAATGCTGTTGGGTGGTGCTTGAATTCCTCTGATTGCCATGTTGACACCACAAAAAAAAGAGAAGGCAACAGGCATGCTTTTGCCGTTGAACACTACAGATAGGAAGAACTGTTAGTATGAGTTTTCAGGTTTCCATACTTACTGGTTTAATTGGCTGGCCAGTTCTATGATATCTGATATCTTGTGTTATGCAGATTAAGTGGCACTGGCTTGCGCTGAACAGTTCATCAGACAATGCACTGCACCTACCACAAGTACCGCTTTCATTAGAATCTGGCCATACACAAGCAACCAGCCACTGTAAAGAATCCAATCTCATACCTTCTTCAAGTTTCCAGTCTGGTATCTGGAATGTATGAGGAAGGCATAAGGGATGCAGTTGTGGATTGATGCACACAACTAGAGGAACAGTCAGTATGAGTACTGACTGGGTAGGCATATTGGGTATCCTGGATTTCCTGGAGGTGGGTGGTGGGTTCCTCTGATTGCCAGGTTGATACCACAGCACAATTCGCAGGCATCAGGGATGCACTTGATATGTTCCATGATAATGAAACTGATCTGTTGTTAGCTGACAATGTTGCAATAATTGTAGCTCAATCTTCTGAAGACATTTAACTTCCTAACTGATCCTTTTCAGATGCCAAGTGGTACACATAGCCTGCGTTGTAGCCGGCCCACGCACTTGTCTAAACCATTTGTATAGTCTGTCTGCGAATTAGTGCACAAAAGCTGGTTCTAATATCCTACAGAGTTGCAAGGACATATGTGAGCGTTTCCGATAGGCGGGTTTCTTATAAGCCTCACAATAATATTGGCCTAATTCTTAGGTTTGCATGATGGTTGGAGCCCAGTGACATGTCAAAATTCACAGTAGGGAGTTAGCAAGGACCGTTTACAGTAAACAATGAAAGAGTAGTTCGATCTTTAAAGCCTTCCTCTGAACAAAAAAAATTGTTTAAGAGTTTCTTTAAGGCCAGAATTTGCTTGTAAATTTGTCGACTGGTTTTCCAGCATCTTAAAGTCGCTGCAGATGCACTGCTGTGTAAAAAGCCTAAGGCTTAAACAGGGGTAAGCGAAAATCAATTCATGGTAAACTGCATCTGGGATCATCATCAAATCCTGTGTCACTGCAGAAACATAAACCACAGGAACTAATAATATTATTAGTTCCTGTGGTTTATTCAATATGCGTGGAACAGACCAGATTCCTAAGACTCCTAACCTCTAATGTGAGACTGAAAGCGGCAAAAAAAATTGCTCGGTCAAAGTATAGAATACTCCATGCACTGCATAAACTACATAAAAAGAAAACAAGAAAAACCTCTGTTGTTCAAGCTAACACTAAGGTCACGTTTCACACTATCAAGAGCTCAATCTCTCTTGTCACAAGCTATTAATCGTGTTTGGCCTGTCAACACTTAATTCAAATCGGACTAATCACAAACTGCGTAAGAAACTACCCAATCAAAAACACCAACATATGTCGTGGCGACCGTGTGGGATTCGAACAAGATTTTGTGTACTAATTCGCAGACGTTCTATACAGAAGGTTTAGAGCATCTGCAACGCAGGCAAGGTACACAAAGCTGCACCTAGGTTCTTCTATCCCTTTTTTCCTCGTGAGGTTTCAGTAGCAAGCGGTGTTTTACAAGGCAGGGTTGTTAGCCTGGAGGACTAGAGTGCTATTTAGTCTGGCCTCTCTCCCTTTGACCAATCCGGCATAGTTGAACCTGCCAGGAGCAAAACTCCCGCCATCATAGCACTAGGGGTCATAAGGGCACACAAGCCTCCCTGCCACGTCCAGGCACAGCATCAGGGGAGGGAAGAGCTGTTAACCTGCTTTTAAGATGTTTTCAACCTTCCTTTGTTTCTCTGGATTGGGGATAAGTAAATCCAAGATTGTTGTGTTACACATATATCATTATTTTAAGCTAAAGGACAAGAAGATACACCAGTGCTTCTTCATCCCTTTGTGGGTAACAAATAGGGTAGTGTCTACAGCAAAACGTATAACACTAGTAGCAAAAATTAATGAAGGATGAATCAGCTCCGATTTCATGTACATGATACAAGTCAATAAAACTTACTCATATGAGTAAATCACAACAACTAAATGAAATATAGAGGAAGAAATGATGCTGCAATACTACTGTGACTACAAACACAATAAGTCTGGACTGTACTCGGTGACGACATGAAGCCATTGGCGACGAGGAGGGTATAAATCATAACTGTAAACCTTGCAACGCTAATGGCTGCAACGTTGGAGTTTACATATTTAGCAACTGAATTACCTGATGAATATTAACAGTAGAGTTGTGGCTGGCCTCAATGATGATGTCGGTACAGCACATTCTTCTGACTCTTATCCTGAGACAAATCTGCAACTATTATTCCTCACAAAACTTGAAAGTTGAATCGTCCGGCAAGCTATTCTTCATGTTTACCCGTTTTTTTTCTACACACCGCTTAGTGCGTGGTAGCTAAGCTACTAACGAGAGATCGAGCCCAGGCTCCTGACAGACAGTGAAAAAGAAGGAAACAAATAGAAAAGGGAAAAATAGAAGAAGCCGCTTAAACTCCATCTCCTTCGATTTGTTAAACGTACGCGAACGACCGCATTAAATTCAACTAAAGTGGTAAACGCTTCCTCTCTGTGTTTTTGTTTTGTCAGCTCTTAGTCAACTTTAAAAAAATAATAATAATAAAATAAAAAAATAGCCATGGGCGACTACCCAAACCAACCAAAATGGAAATTTACTGCGGAAATTTTCGGCTTTGTCAACACCCTACGACGTGGTCCAGTTCAGGCTGGAGCCAGTTTACCGATGCAAAATTAATTTTGCGAAGTCATGAGAATTTTCCAGAAAAACCAAAGATCGTGCAATCGTTTCATCAACTTCCGTCAGCATGACCGCGCATTCCTGGTTCCAGATTTTCTGACGACACTTCCGGTAAAACCTCCATATATGGCAATGGGCCCCTGTACCGCGAAGTTTGTTTACATCACTGCCATGCAGTTTCACACGAGTTGAGTTTGTGTAAAAGAAGGCTGAATCGTTAGGAAGGCACGTCACTCCATATTCGATTCGAGAGCTTTGACAACGGGGTTGAAAGCATCAAAATGTCCTTTTTCCCAAGAATTCGTATGCTTTTGCCAGCGGTGCATCGCATTCGGTAAGTTATGGCCCAGCTTTAATTTCTGACACAGCGCGCGTACATGTAGCAAATAAGAAGCAAATTATTTTCCCGGGAAAACCACGAATAAACTACACATATGGCGAATGCTGTTGGCAAATGCACTACCAGTTTTATCTGCACGTGATCTATGCCGGGGCTTAACTTGTTTATAGGCAACCTTTCACCGATACTCAAAATCAGTCTGTCAAATGCTAGAGTTATTTATTTAATATTTGGAAAGATACTGGAAAATAGCTGAAAGTATTTTAAATTTATTTATTTCCATCACATGTCAATACCTAGGAATGCTTCATACCTTTGGCCAAATTATGATCGTTACTTTCCATCCTTATGGGAATCATGGTATACACCTTGGTATACAAAGCCACGAGTTGGAACAAGCTACACTTACATAGAGTTTGTAGAGACGGGGAGGGGAAGGACAAAAAAGAAGAGCTGCACGAATGAAAAAGAACCAGCCACAAAATCAGAGCAAAAGACTCAGGAGGAACTCAAGGAAGATCATGACACCTTCAAAGTAAGCTAATAATAACTAGTAATAATAATTGCAAATTAGGGAATTCATTCAGCAGGGAGGGGTGATAAGGCAAGGGTAGGCAGCATCTCTTGAGCGGTCATCACTGCTCTCATACGCCTTATTCCAAAATGGTGAATACTTTATTATTCTTTTATATTATTATTTATGTTAATTAGCCCTCGATGCCTTGATTCCAGCCAGAAATTCTTTTGACTTCTCAAGATGCGATTGAGGCATTGAGGGTCAATTAAAAGAATAATGAAATTGTTGCCATCTTGGAATATGGTGTATTAGTTGCCCAGGTCTCTATTAAGGCAAACCTGTTGATTAAGCAGGATTGGTAATAATGACGACAATGGGATAATGATGATAATGATGATGGTGATAATGAAATGGATTCGACTCCAATGATGATTTCATAATATTCTTATATTATTTTTTTGTCATCAAACAAATAGGTGTCCTTTGATGTGTCAAAGTTCAAGCCAGAGGAAATTACCATCCGCTCAGAAAATGGTGAGTTAGTGGTGGAAGGCAAGCAAGAGGCGAAGAGTGATGGTTACTCCACACGCCATTTTGTCCGTTCATACTCACTGCCCAGGAATATTGACAGAGACTCCTTCAAGTCTCGTTTGTCAAAAGAAGGTATTCTCAGTATTGAGGCCAAAAAGCTGGAGAAGCCTGAGGAAAAGGATTTCATCAAGATTGAGACTGAAAATTGAAGCTTACTGAGACTACTACAGCTGTGATCCAAACCTTTTCCAAGAAAACAACATTGTTATGTTTCGGTGCATTTAGGATAAAGTCAATCTGATAAGAACATGTTGATATTGATTGTTTATTGGTATAAGTTTATTGTATCGGTGTTTTCAGCATTATTGAGTGTTTTTAAAATAGAAATAAAGCAACCTGTTTGCTAAACAGGCTGTAGGACAAGTTTTAATGTCTCTTGCTGTCTTCAGCTTTCAAAGTCATCTTTTAAATATACCGTATTTTATCGGCTATAAGCTGAGACCATTAGAAACTTTTAACTCTTAAACTTAAGACGATCGTCTTCAAACATAAACACAAAACATTCAGCTTTAAGCCGAGACCCATTTCTTACAACGTATAAGAGCTCATGAAAAATTTTAATCACATCTGCTACAATGAAATGAAAGAAGCAGTTCATTATCCAATTCAAGTTAGGCTATGCATTTGTGTAAAAATTGCTCGGCTCATAGCCGATAAAATATGGTAATTTTTTTTTTTCAAAAAATTATCCCTGACAATTTTAAGAGTTTTTGGTTTGATCCCCCACCCTGAGCTAATAATTTGGTAATAATTTAGATACTTTGTGAACTGTGTGCAGAGTGAGATGTTATAGAATGCAACATTTATTGGTGACAAATGTCAGAGGAGGTGCAACAAATTGTTCATATCTAAGTCTGCAAGTTAAATAAAAAGCATTACAGCTACCTAGGATGGTATCGTGGTGCCATGAATAACTTTCGAAACAGATGTCAGGCACTCAGGGTAGTGTGTCGAAGATTATTTTAGGTTAGTGGTTCTGTTGGTTTTCTCACAACAATGCAGAGGGAGTACACATTACTCTCTGAACTGACAGTCCTTTATTATTGCACTGCAATCTGTGAGACTTACATGCAGGAAGGACCTCAAATAAAACAAAACAAACAAATTTTCTTTTATGTTAGTTCCTGATAAGGTCCTTTCATTGTTTTTGTAATGTCATTGTTAAGTCAAATCAAGGTTTTCTTCTCTTCCATATGGACGCATGGGCTACAGTCCACTGGTTTTTACGTGCTGTTTCTCTTATGAAAAATGACATGGGTTTATCTTCTATCAGCTCAAAGTCTGGTCCAAGGCACCTTTTAAGGGTATCTAGTCCAGTCACATTTTTCCCTTCAGCATCTTTGAAGCCCCCAAGCCAAAGATTCTGCACAAAGTTAACAAAAAAATACTTAAGTTTATAAAATTATATAAGATTGGAAAATTTTATCAGCTTTACCACTTGCATTTTGGTGGTCTTTATGAAAATATTAATTTTTCAGGGGGTGCAAAGTCAGGAATTTGGACAGAGGATGGGGTTTTTTCCACGAGGCTATTTTTGGAAAATTGGAGCAAAGGGGAGGGGTTGCATGGAACAAATCTGGAGCCACACATTACCCTACATCTATCTATAGCAATCAAATTTTCAATTTCACGTCACAGTTTTTAATCCCATTTCAGTTACATGTGTGCAGCCTCACTTTTACAGCGTGACCAGGAAAACCGTGAAAATTTGAAACATTTCAGGAATGTTTATTGTATTACGACCAATCACAACAAAGATCAAGACATGCGAGCAAGCCACAGAACCACAAACTAATTAACATTCTTGCTTGTAGTTTAGTTTTCTCACGCCTGATTGGCTTTTTTCTTACACCACAATAACATTCCAGAAATATTTCTGGTGTTCATGGTTTTCCCAGTTTGACTGTAAAATAAAGAAAAGAATATTAACTTAATTGAAACCCAGTTATGCAATGACCACAGAATTGGTAAAAATTGCTTTCATTTTTTCAATCAAAATAAAGTTTTCTGTTCAGGTTTTTTTTCAACTTACTTTTGGAGTAAACTCCTCCATCCAAGAATTGGGTGATGTAATGACCAAAGTACCACCAGGAGCTACAAGAGATGGCAACCTCTCAAGAAACTGGTATGGATTAGGAAGACGGCAGACCAAGTTTGCGGCAAGAACACAGCCAAATTGTCCTAAGTCAGTTGGCAAGTTACAAGCATCTCCTTGATAGAAGGAAACACGACCTCTGTCCTAAAATAGTTAACAAATGTTAAAAGTGTCAAGTTGGTATTTAAGGAGTCACCAACCTACCAACCTCCGGAGATCTAAAATCTGGAAACTCTCTATTTTGCACTACACCCCCCCCCCCCCGAATGTCAACAGCACCAACACCCCACCCCCCCGCACCAACAAATTGCCTTAGGACATTACATGACGTCTTACATGATGTACATAGGATCAAAATGCGCTTTCATGATTGTAATGGCGAACTAATCTTTGTCACTGACTAAACATGTGCAAAAATGTCCCAGAAACTGTACAATGAATAAAAAAAGTTCGAATTTTGTGAAAAAATGGACTAAATTTCAAACTAAAGCACAGAAATGCTCAAAAGTCCATTTTATCCGGGAGATTTGGTGCTCTAACTGGGAGAGTGGGAGATTTGATGAAAAACTTGGAGACTCCCGGGAAAACCGGGAGAGTTGGCAGGTATGAGTCACTCTATGAGATTTGAGAAACACTGCCCCATAGCAATGATCAGAATAATTATTAGTCATGCAAGCTGTTAATTCGGAAAAATGTAACACGAAAAACCACATGTACCAAACCACAGTTAATGAGTAGATCATCTTTATATCTCCTCCAAGAAAATACATTCAAACCCCGCTTTATGAACACCCAATAAATACAGATATCTCAATATTATGAACAGTTTTCTTTGTTCCTGGGGAAAGAAAGCCCCTTCATTTTCTCTAAATTTAACCCAGTTAATATGGATATTTTCTATGGCCCACTCAGTGTCTGTATTAATGGAGTTTGACTGTATGGAGAAATATGCCCCTAGTGTTGTCTGATAGCCATCTCTAATGTTCAAGCTCTAAAGAATATCCCCTCTAACTTATGGCCAGGAACGGGGGAAGGTGGGCAGCAATAACGTAAATTTTAAGGTTGAGTATGTGCCACTGGGAACCTGTCTCCTAAGCAAAGTATTTGCAATTGATTTCCTTACCCACTCCCAGCCTACACTGCTAGAAAACCACACCCTTCACAGTGGCACAGCCTTCCCTTAGAGAAAGAAAAAAAAGGCTCTTTTTCAAAGCAAACTGCGAATTATCACATGATTTTATAGCCCCTTGATGTGGCTACATCATATTGTATGTGTACATGTAACAGAGAAAAATAATAATACATATTTATTTCAATTTATTTATAAAAAGGAACAGCCAAAAACGTTTTGTGTGAATTCTCTGGGAATGTTCTTGTAAAGAATTGTAGGAGATAATTTTCAAGGTCAACTTGAGAAACAAATAGCAAGATGTTCTATTTTGCAAACACATGACCTAAAATCTGATAGATACTTACACTAGTCTCAAACATCTCTGAGTGGATTTGAGTAAGGAAGAAAACCACAGTTTGCAGATTGATTTCACCAGTCTTCAGTGAAGGTGCCATTTTTAAATTATATTTTATATCATTAACTCTTTCTTTTCTAAAAGCCATATAACTTTTGGATAATTAATTAATAATTGACTGTAAAGAAGATCATCACATCCACTGTTAACGATGTCACTTAACCGCAATGATCTTCTTTACATTTATTATTATTTCAATTTTTTTTTATTTTTATAATTTAAAGCCTTATATACTTACAATATCTGGGTCAACTGCTGCTACATGTTGGGAGACAAGACTTCCTTCAGTTTGCACAGTATAGGGTAACTTTCCATAAGTTTTAAGCTTGTTAGCAGCATTTATGAATCCATGGGAAAAATCAATACCTATAACTTGATTAAATTTCTTGGCAAGTTCAAACGTTGACCGGCCAACAGCGCAGCCAATATCCAGAGCTATGCTTGGTACATCATCCTGTTGAAAGTTTAAAAGGCAAAAAAGTTTATTGCCACAAGCATTAGCCTCCCCGAGCATATCACTCAACGCTTGTAAGGGAATACGGATTTTGGAATCCATGTCTTTTTGCTTGCAGAATCAGGAAATTTTCAGGGAAATTTTTACTAGTGGGATCAAGAATCCTAGGACTTGGAATCTGGAATACAGTTCAAGGAATCCGGAATCCCACTTACGAGTGGTATCTGGAATTCAGTAGGCCTGGAATCCGGAATTCATGGCTTGTAATCCAGAATCCAAGACTGTCTAGATTTTGAATTCCCTTACATGCAATATTTATGAGACCATAAAAATATCATGAATTGCAAAATTCTGACAGAAGAGTTTTTCTTCTCTGCCGCTCTGTAGCCTCTTACTGGCTCCAATATTTATAGAAAAGAAATCCTGAGAATAGAATAATTCTCTCTTTTTGCAAGCACGTTTTTATAAGCTTTTTACGTAAGGTTTGATTACATGACAGTTTAACACTATGAATAAAAACGTATCATTGTTATCATATAAGATCAAAGACTCACCTCAGCATGTTTTATACATTCCAACGCACATCGCGAGGGAAACTCAAGCGAATCTTTCGGTCCAAATCCATAGGGTAGAAGCTCATCTTCGGTGCCATAATGAAATATAAGGTACTCTCCGATCAACTTTTCTGTCTCGTACACATTTTCACTGGCTTCATGTCTTTTAGAAAGGTAACGATATGCTATAACCGTCAACGCCGATGCAGTTATAGCACTTGCAGAAGCAATCAAAAGATGTTTCTCCATGATTGAAACAGGTTGCAGTTCACTAAAACGCCGATAGAGCGGGAGGGGCACGTGCAAATTAGCGACTGCAGTATGATGCGTTCTGCGGATTGCGCCGACCGGAAGTAAAGCATGAAAAATCGAAAAGTCCTTTTAAAATTTGTATAGCGCAGTAAGGTGGGAGATTGATACAAATATCCAGAGGAGAAAACGAAACGAAAATAAAAATTTAAAAACCAAATAAACCAAAAGAAAAAAAAAGGAATAAAATAAAGTGGAGATACGGGGAGTCGAACCCCGGGCCTCTCGCATGCGAAGCGAGCGCTCTACCACTGAGCTACATCCCCGAACGCACCCGATTTGGCAAGAATTTGTCATTATATTGTTTAGGGCAGGCTAAGGGGAACTAGGACCTAATCACATTACACTTGACAGAAGAACTGGGCCGGATTGTTCAATTGGAAACTCTAACAGACAGTGAGAAATTTTTCCTAGAAAATACTTTCGCACAACAACAACAAAAAAACTGGATTAAAATTTAACCTCGCATTAGCGCTAATAGGCCTTCGAACAACTATAATCATTGGTTGATTCATGACAGGATAGAAGAGCTCTGGATCTCAGGTCGAGGATGATTGCCGAGCTGCACCCGACCGAAAGCCATTTTTTCCATTTTCGCGCAACATGCACTGGTTTAACATATTTTTAACCTAGACTGACTCGCAAATTTCTTTGTATTCTGGGCTAAGAAACAAAGAAATAGAAAATAAATTTAAGTCAAAAACAAAAATTAACCTGAAATCAAACCTGACCTGTAACATATACATCCACAACCCAGTAAACTTTGAATTCTTAACTGTTGATAATACCTCTATTGGCTTGACGTCATCGAAACGTTAAGTTTCTTTTTTATTGTTTAATTTTGTTCTAAAATAAAAAATGAAAATAATAATAAAAAACTCCTAACTACAAACTTCAATTAAAAAATACACATCTATGATTATAGACGTCACTGAAGGCAGTCTGAGGCTTACCAAGGTTTAAATAAACAAGAAGTACAATTTAAATAATTATTAAAGTTTCCTTCCTTATGGTTTTCTACGATAAATCATAATTCTTCAAAAACAAAAGAGCCACTAAAAATATTTAACAGCGGCGATGGCATAAGGGCAGTCCAGGAAACACGAAAGCGTCATAGTTTTCTGTTCCTGCTGGAAGTGTCTTCTAAGGATCCGGGAATTGACCGCAATGTAGTGCGGGATTCGGGAAAAAAGCAAAATTTCTCGATAGCATACGGGATTTGAACGCTACTCAGCAAGCGGTATTCGCTAAAACCTTAGCACTGAGAAAAAGAACGGTATTCGGGATGGAGATGACAAAAGTTCGGGATGCGGGATTGTCGTGAAAAAAAAGCGGGAATGCGGGATCAGGATTCCCCCCGCCCCCCCCTTCCAAACCCTGTACTCACAGTTTGTAGTCATTTCAATCAGGCAAGCCTCAGGTGAAACCTGGCTATAGATTGAGAGAAGGGAGGGCAAAAGGGGATTATGAAACGAAATTTTGATCGGTCACATACCAATAATCAAACACAAAACTCAAGTACTAGTGGTTAAATAACAGGGATCATAAGTAATGGCGACGGCTACGAAAACGTCACTTAAAAAGTGAAGTCGCGTTGCTTGAAACTTTATCGTGCTTATTCCATTTCGTTCAGTTCGTTAAATCTTGGCAATTTTTTCTGGAGTTGAATTCTAAAAGACTGTATCGAAGTTCAGGAAAAGAAAAAAGAAAGTCGTTGTCTTGTGTTCATGTCCTCCATTAAACGTGAAAGTAGGCATTTTCACGTTTTAGTCATGCAGTGACGGCAAAGAAATGTACAAAAAAGCGTGATGCACGTGCAGATTTCTAAACTTAAGTTGATGTTACACGGGACGATTCGCAACGACGATTTTTAGCGCAATACAGCGTTGCAATGCTGGACCAATGTTGTAACCATTCGAAACAATGTCGCAACAATGTTGCAACGCTGTGTTGCGCTAAAAATCGTCGTTGCGAATCGTCCCGTGTGACATCACCTTTACAGTCAAACTCCGTTGATACGGACACCGAGGGGCCACAGAAAGTGCCCGTATTAAGCGGGCTGAATCTGGAGAAAATGTAAGGACGACTTTCTTTGCCCAGGGACAAGGCAAATTGTCCGTAATAGTAGTGTCCCTAGTCTGCTACACAGCCGTTTTTAGTGTCGTCACGCAAACACTAAAAACGGCTGTGTAGCAGACTATAGTGTCCCTGCCTCGTACCCAGACGTCTCTCTCTCGCACGCAAAGGAAGGCGGGAAGGAGGCATCGGGCTTCGCCTTGCTTCGCCTGCCGTCTGTACCCTTCCCATGGTCCCTTGCGGCTCATCACCAGTCGCTCGCCTCTACCTTGCGAAAAACGAAGCGCCTGAGGAGGAGGCTAGTGGTGTCCGTAAAGCAGGGTTTGATTATATTGCTTTTTTTGCCATTCTCGATACTAATCTTAGAAGCCTCATCTTTTAAAAAAGCATAGTATCACGTTACTTTGCTTTTGCCAACTTCATTTTCCACATGGAAGTCTAGGATGGTTTACGGATTATCTTTGCTACGTGAATTGTACGTGTAAAGTAATTAATTCTACGAACTATGAATAAATTCTCACACAAACTAAGCTTGACTTACATCGCCAATACCATGGCTATAATGACGACAAATCATACACCGAAGTTGGGGTACCTGTGCTCGGACCCCTCGGTCGCGCCAACTTCGAAATAGCCTGGGTGGCAGGCACAAAAAAAAGGGAGGGAAGGAAGGAGGGGAGGAAATCTGAAAGGGAAATGGGAAAAGGAGTGCGTTTCCCGCTCCTCTCTTTTTCCCTTTTTCCCAACCTTTTTCAAAGCCTGCCTTGCGGGTAACCTCATTAAGCTGCATCCCAAACTAGTTTGTTGGATAGAGACCTACACTGTTTACTTATTGAAGTCCAATAGTTTGCTTTTCAACCAATTTCCTGAACAATCCATCCGGATTGCCCATCAACTGAGCGTAAGAACCAGCTTCGGCAATTTGTCCATCGTTTAAAACCACAATGTTGTCAGCATTTTTGATGGTCGAGAGCCGATGAGCAATAGTGATGACAGTTCGACCCTTCATCAGTCTTTCAAGAGCTTCCTGAACAAGGTGCTCACTTTCGGCATCCAAAGCACTACAAGAAAATGAACATTGACTCAGCCTCGTTTAAAACCGAGCACATCACGCGCCGCACCTAACTAAAGAATTACGTACGAAAGAGAAGCGCTGTTTGAATCAGCTTTGTTTGGCAGATTTTGCGTGGTGCGGATTGACTGAACAATTAAGTTCGGTAGCAAGGAACATCGCATTATCTGACACTAAAGAGGCGGATATTCAACAAGGGCCGTTCTCAAACGTAAAACTACGTTTCTCAAACTCATTAATAATTCATTAAGAAAATACAAAGGAAATTAATGTTTAATGAGTGTTTGGAAATCGGATGAAACACTGCTTGGTATTTGCATCCTTAATTTCTCCTTCAAAAATGATTTTGTTTGAGAAGAAATATCAAACATTCGACACAGTGTTTCATCACCAGATGAAACACCTCGAAGTTCGTCAAAAATACTCCGCTGCGCGTCGTATTTTCAACTCTCTTCTCGGTGTTTCATCTGGTGATCAAACACTGCATCTCATGTTTGATATATTACATCTAATGCATGAATTTTAAATATCTTTTTCCGTATCTCTGACTTACAATTTATTTCTTTGCTTTGACGTAAGTACGCCAGTTGAGGCACTTGCCACTCAAAAGTTGAAGGGTGCGACATTTGCACCGGCCCAAAATGAGCCGCTTGTCAGTTATAAACTCGAGAACATCGCAGTGAGGGCGCAGTTGCTGCTAGGCCCCGGCTGTTCAAAATCATAACGCCTTTAACTGGCTAAATCACTAGATATAAGTTAGGTAAATCAGCTGTAGCAAATCTACTTCTCAATAGCATGACCCAATTACCTTGTTGCTTCGTCAAGGAGAAGAATGGACGGATTCTAAGGGGAAAAGAGATTATTTTTAAAATATAAACATTGCCCAAACAAAATATGCTGTTCTAAGTAATTACAGAAAGACAGTTTTTAGTGAACATGTGTTGATTACGCCCTGATATAGCCAGGTACTCCACCCTCCCCTCCCTCCTCATGTTTTCTCGCCTTGTCTTTGCCCTGTACTCGAGAGCCCGCAAGCAACCTACATAAATTTCTTAATAGTGATCAGGGGCACCCAACGACAATTTTCGGAAAAATATCTGTTCGGAAGACGATTTGAGATCTAGAATTTTCGAACATTTGTTGTAAAATTTCTTGCTTGCCTGCCTCTCCTAGGATTTTCGGACATCTAAAAAATGGCATAATTGCCTATTTTTAACGGATTTTTACCGTAAAAAGGTCAGTTAGAATTTTCGGGAACCTTTTTTCTGGCTGAAATTTTCGAAAAGGTAAGTTTTGATCCCTATAATTTTCGGATCACTAGACTTTCAGCTAGGAAATCCCAACAGATGAAAAATTTTTTAGGGGATAAAAATATGCTATATCTACCGTTTAAATACTAAAATACGTTTAACAATTCTATGTTTAAGTGGTTTCGAACTATATTCTCGTTGGGTGCCCCTGAGTGATGAACATCAATTTTTATACCTAACAATATAAATACATTATCAAGAGAAGAGTTATGAGAATTGTTAAAATGATCAACTAAAGGAAAATGCTTAACTGATTTTTACACAAATTCTCTGATCTAATTCTGTAAGCAAATGTACGGAGACCACTCTGGAGAATCTGTATGTCTATCAGGGTTTGAAAGATTACTGACATATGACCAGTAAATAAGAACAGCTTCACTAACCTTCAGAATTGCTCTTGCAATTGCAATTCGCTGTCTTTGACCTCCTGCAGGGTATAAAACACAAGCAAAAGTAGATTTAAATTCGTTACTTTAATTTCAAAGCAAGATTAATTATAGGACATAACGCGCAATTCTACCGTTTGCCAGTTTGAATGGAAAACCTTAACCTATGGTGTACGCTCTTTAGGCATTCTTTTACATACAACTGTAGTACTATTTATTTAGTATGTCATTGTGGTTTTCATTTTTGTTTGAATCCTATGGTCTGACCAATCACATAAAAACTCTTTCTTTAGAAGTACTTTTACATGACATTAGTTGTTGCTTTCCACCCCTGCCCCCTCCCCAACAACCAAAAATACCAGTCACCATAAGCATATTTTTAGAGAGTCCCCCTGACTCACCCCTCCCATTTTGCACAGTCAAAGTAAGTTGTAGAAAATGGATTTACAGTATGTAAAGCTTGCCCTACCCTACCCCCATCACAATATTAACACCACCTCACTTCTTACTAAAAAAAACAAAACGTTGGGTTAGTGGAGGGCCATGACTGATTGATTTAATCACTTTGAGGTGGTTACTTGTGGTGAATTCAACCCCGTTCTATGATTATAACCTGATAGCATTTGTCCTCTTTCTCCCACAACAGTGTCAAATCCTTTAGGGAAGCTCTTGATAAAACTATAAGCATTGGCTTGTACAGCAGCGTCCTCAATATCATCCTGGCTGACTTGTTGACCTATGGCTGCACCATATGCAATGTTATCCGCAACAGAAGATGAGAACAGAATTGGTTCCTTGAAGGAAAAGAAAAATTGTAAAACTATTTGATAAGGTTTCTCTTTGAAGCGGTCTGAAAAGTAAAAGTATGAAATTCAAAAAAGTTTTTGTCCACACTGGAAACCAAAACAAAATAGACCATGTCCGAGTTCCAATAACTCTCACTTTCAAAACTTTCAAGTGCAAAACTTTCCTTGTGAAAATGGGTTTCATTTGCTTTAGAGTAAAAAATCACTTTCTTATCAATTGCCCTATTTTCCCTTCAGTAACCGTTGAGTGCGGGTAAGAATGTAAAACCGCGGGGGATTTACTAACCGCTAGCTCAAGGGGGTAGGGGTTGGGGAAGAAGAAAATAGGTAGATATTTAGATAGTTTTTTTCTCTCGATCTGCGCTCGTTTTTGCGTGCTTGCATCGCTTATGTGCTCGCCGATTGTCAAATTGAAAGAGAAAACAATGTCTGTGTACAGGCAAAATGGCTCCGCACTTAGCCTCACTCTGAAACTGAGGCTTGGGGCAAATTGGAAATAGCCTATTCATTCACCTGATGAACTGTTCCCACAGCACCTCTCAGCCAATCAGGTGATAGAGTTGTTACGTCATGCCCTCCAACAATCACCTGACCCTGATTCGGGTCATACAGGCGAAGAAGTAATGACCCCAGTGTACTCTTCCCAGACCCACTCGGTCCAACCACTGCTGTGACCGATCCTGCAGGAACCTCCAAGTTGAGTCCATGGAAGATTGGCATGTCAGACCGAGATGGGTAAGAAAAATGGACGTTGTTAAACAGAATCCCCCTGTTTAAGTCATGGATGTCTGGTCGTAAGCCTCCTAAACACATGATAGGAATGTTAGGCCGGGATCAAACGTTAAACTTACATGAAACAAATTTAATGCTATAAATGGGAACGAACAATACAGCATCAGGTTCACCACATGGAAAGTTTCCCGCTTGACCTGGGTTTTGGTAGCCTGCATCGCGGACATAATTTAACCCTGGTTAGTAACCAGAGATTAGTTTCATCTATGGTGCAGGCTAGGGCCTTGGTTATTAATCCAAGAGTACTCAGGACCACAAAACAATATTAAATTCTATTTGGTGGGACTAATCCCCTAATAGATAAAGGAATAAAAATATAAATAAGGGGAAACATACAGGCCTGTACTGTTTAAAAGAATGGTGATTTTTAGCCTATGTACAGTCGCCCTTTTCCCTCTAGGAAGGGGTAGCTGTACACAGGCTTGTAGGAGTTTTTAGGACATTTGTTCTTGATGACACAATGTGCTGAAACACCTAAGGCGTTATTCTTTAATACTAAGAAAGGATTAAATATATTTCCCATCTTGCGCAAAAAGGGAAGGATGTATAAAACAGAGAGAGAATACAAAGGCTATAATTTTTTAGTTTAAAATAGTTAGCTTTTCCTGTTGAAAATGCTTCAAAACAAACTGATGTTCAGTAGGCAACTATGTGTTTGTTGTGAACTTGTGATTTATCATTCTTCAACAACTAATTCTTTGGCTTAAATTTTCATTGTTTTCAAGTTTCATCTTAATTGGTCTAACTAGACAAAATAGATGAAGCTGCAGTTACAGAGGCCCATCAGACAGAAGGTCAGAAGTTAGTTCACCTGACAAAGGAATGGTGGGAGTCCTATCAATTAACTGCCACAGTCTACCACTTGCGCCAATCCCTTTCATGAGTTCTGAGTAAAAGGAACTGAGGCCTGCAGGAAAGGGCATATTATATACAGCCATATTAGTGACATTATTATGTCATACACTCTCAGAACTTATTTACATCGTTTTAGAAAAAATTTCGCAGAAGTGAATAGGCTAAATAAGGTGGAACTCCAAATGATGAACCTCTATATAACATATTCCTAAGTATAACAAAGATATTCTTTGTCCCAGAAATAATACAATATATAACAAATTTTGTCAATCCTTTGGGCTTTAGTTATATAGAGGTTTTACCATATATAAAACGTAAAACATTAACACAATAAAAACAAAACAGATAGACAGATAGTATTAAGCAAAATACTGCTGGAGAGGTCTCTTTGAGAGATCACATGTCAGACCTTTTCTACAAACTGAATGGAATCACCCCTGGATTAATATGCAGCATACAAATTTCCCATTTCCCATCTTTTATATTTACTCTTTATCCTGAATACAATGTCTTACTTAAAAGGGGAAATAATTTTAGTTTCACTGTATCGTTCCCCTTTCCATTTGTATCATAATATTATTATTATTATCACTTTTCAACTCCTCTACTCAAAAGAAAATGGACAAATAAAACACAAAACAATTATGTAGTATTAAAGAGGATAACCTTCAAGTCTGAAACCCAAACATTAAAAAAAATCTAGGAATCCCAGCCTAGTTCAAAACATTAATTAGGTCCTATAGGAAATTGTTGAAAAACATTTTATTTACCTCCAAAAGATATGCCAACAAACCCGGCATAGAGTAGAAAAGATGTAAGATCACCAACAGTGATTTGTGCATCTGTCATCATCATTCCACCACTGTACAACACTGCCAACATTATAACATTACCAGACAGTCCTGTCTGAAATCAAACAAAATGTCACACTTTTTCAACCACACATAGCTACATTATCTGGGGGTAGTACCATATCAATTTTACATCAACCCTCTTTTCTCATGGGGGAGGGGGGGACTATCCCGGATAATCAGGACGGGCATGTTAATCAGAAAATTAGAATTAAAGCCCTTTAGGGGACCAACCTGGGGATGGGCACAGCTGCTTCAACATCCTTTGATCCCCAGGACCATACTAACACTCCAGTGACAATAACTGGTTTTTATTGTATGGATATTTCCTTATGCACAACCCTAGGAAGGAGAAGAAGGGATGGACTGGCTAATTCTAAAAAACCAACTTACAAATCCAAAGAATATTGCTCTTGCAACAGCTTCCTTCTTAGCAAGTTTAAAAACATCAAGTACACTGTCTGCATACCTAAAAACAAATAATTAATGACATCAAATATAACATGCTTCTCTCCTCATCCTTTTAAATATTTTTGCCACGTATTTGTATTACTAACAACAAAAAGGACTAACTTTAAATGAGATCAGGCCAGTGGCGTGGCACAAAGAAACTACAAGTTGTTCTTCGCATTAAATAACATGTGACAAAAAACTAATTACATCTTGATCTCTTTCAGTTCTTGTCCAAATGCCCTTACAGTTCGTATGTTGCTGATTCTCTCCTCTGCAACCTAAAAATTAACATAAGCATAAAATATTTTCAACAAACAATGAATTAATATTTATTTTATTTATTATTTGAAATAAATCAGTTGCCTTTTCCAAATTTTGTACATGTTTTTGTTGTGGTTCAGTACTGTTGTTAAATATAATATAAATCAAGGGCAAAATTGAACCACACCAAGATATTAGATTAGTAAATTGCTGACCAAACAGGAGACTCTTTACCCCTACAAAATACTGAATTACCAATTGCTTTGTTCTTCAATCAACATACAGCAACAAAAAAGCAGCTCAGTGCAGTATTGTACGAGACCTTTGAATAACCAGAAGTTCAGGGATACACTGAGCATTGGAAAATCTGAACTTCAATCTATTCCAAGAGCCACTTCCAAATTGTTTGTGTTGCCAGGGGTCAAATATAAAATCATCTCATGTTGCCTGTCTTCCTGCGTTGGAGTCATATTACTATTAAAAATTGATTATTATTAATTATTATTACTATCATAATTCATTATCTTCTGTATGATACTTGTTATTAATGTATAAAATGCAATTTAGTGCAAACTAGTACTTGTGTTGACTGTGCCAAAGAGTCCTGTGTTTTCTTGGTGATACTGCGAAGGTAGCGACCGTACATGACAATGGCTATTGCAACAGGAGGTACAATTCCAAGAACAATGCTAGCCAGCTTGGGGCAGACATAAAACTAAAAGTTGAAAAAAATATGCTCCCTTCATTCATCACTTTAGAAACAACAGGGAAACTAGTCCAAGAAGATTTAAAGACTTCCCGGACTACTACTGGGGATGGGGAAAAACATCGGCCAATAGCTGACCAGCACAACCACAGTAACAATCCCAAAAACAATATTATTGTGGGACACATTTTGGCTCTATTCCCTTTCTCATTTCTAAAACAGCGAACAAATTAACTCTTGCTATGTTACTATTAGGGACCTCACGATCCAACAACAGTGACTTCCATGAAAATGCTGCTGAAAAATAGACTTTGCATCCGTTCAAACTTTTTTTGTACCAAGTCCTTGTTACTTAAAGGGGAATTTAGGTTGAAGCTGAAGAGCAGGGACAATACCCGATTTCACACAGAGATGATAGAATTTATTGCATTGCCATTCATGTTCTCAAGTTTAATTAAAATTTAAAACTTGGTCTTTTCCATCATATGTTGAGCTAGGATGGCAAAGAAATTTACAAAAAAGTGTGATGCACATGCAGAGTTGCTATTTTGCTCATTAAACCTATTGATTTTTTGATGATCCCATTGCCGTCACCATCGTAGTTTAAGTAAGGACCCCATGTACTTCTTTATTACTCCTGTCCCCCAGTCAATGCAAAATGACAACAAAATAATGGTTTTGACTGAAGATTTACTGAACTCACCATCATGGATACTCCTGCCAGAGACTGCGCAACAGCTCTCAGTCCATCTGATACATTGTCTGTGACAGCCTTTCCTACCAAGATGGTGTCAGCTGACAAACGATTGATCAGCTCTCCTGTCCTTGTTCGATCAAAAAAGGCTGTTTCTTGTCTAAGTATGGAACTGAACAGTCTTTCACGCAGTCTCTTGATGATTTTTTGGCCTGGAGAAGTTTACAGAATTTTACATAAGGCAACCAACTATTTTATAGTCGACGTTGCAGCTGTTTTTAGGGTCACATGACTGAAAAGGAGACTAACAACTACAATTTGATGTATACTGACAAGGGTCAAAACACTGATGCAGAAAAGACTTTGAGTTTCTTACCAGAAATTTGGATAAGGTACACTCTTCCGAAGTTAGCTGTTCCTCCCAAAAGGAAAACTCCACACAAGATTTTACAGACATATGTCAGTGTATCCACCATTTGTGCAGGATTTTGACTTGATGTATAAATGATGTCAATGATCTTTCCCATGCAAAATGGTACAGACATAGTAACAGCTGAGGAGATGAACAAAAGACTAATGGCTCCTAGCATAAAAAAAAGAAAGATGACGGCATCAGTGACGTCCTCCTATAAACAAGCTTCTCATAAACTCTACGTAAGTAACCCTTTGAATCCCAAGATTGACCAAAATCAATCTTCTCCTAAAATACAAATACATAATCATTAGATAAAGGTAGGAAAATTTATCAAAATTATCTCAATTAATTCCTTAAGGAATGTTTGGTTGGAGATCAATCAGGAGAATTTGTATGCCAGTATTGGTGTTACCCATTATTGTTCCCATTCACCTACCCCAGATGGACAGGATGGAAGAGGTCTCTAGATGTGACAATGCATTTTATTTGTTTATATATTTATTTTGTTCATTCAAACTATAATAATTCACGGTTCCCTTTCATGTATTGCATTATTATCCAAACTGGCACTTCAAAGACAAACAAGGTAAGAGATCAACTTTCTTAATCTAGTATACTCATTATGGAGCTAGGGAGTTCAGAGTCAATTGCTCATTTGATCGCCTATCAGCTGTCAAATGAGAGAGTGACACGCAAGCTCTCGCTGGTTGAGTGCTCTTAATTATACAACTAACTTTAAAGAGATTTAATTTACCAGCAAGATTCTTATACTCCGGTTTGGCAAGTGATAATATCCGAAAGAGATCGTCACTTTTTAGTTGTTTCTTTGCAGGGTTAACGTTCTCCTCTTGCTTCTCCTCTTTTCCATTGTCAGTAAGACTTCCACTAGTGTTGGAACGTGAACGCACGGGAGAAGTTCTAGAAGGCAGATAAAGACCAAATATTCGCTGCCTTTGCCAACCGATAAATGTTCGATTCTTGGGAGCTACGTAATGAGAATTTCGTCTTAGGAAGCACCATCTGTACGGACTACTTTGTGCCCCAATAAACCGGTTGATGCAAGGAACTACCTGATCCGGTCCAACGAATTTGTTTACAGCGTGTCTTCGAAAGCAACCAATTGCACAACTATACATGATATTTCACTAGACGGAGGAATGGAAGTTGAGAACTCTGCAAGAAAATTGAACGTCTGCTAGCAACTCCCGAAAACGAAGAATATTCCATCACCACATGTCCTGGGTTGATAAATATCAGTATTTTGCCAATAAACGTAAACTTATAAACTTCGCGGAAAATATCAACTTGATCGTACATGATAGTACATACCGTACTGATCGCTGGGTAAAGAACCCGCTGAATACAGTGTTTACAGTCACTGCAAGGCTTATCTAGTTCCCAGATCTCCTCCTAATATGATCGTAGTACAAAAGAAAAAACGGCAAATTACGGCTAAAAAAAGAAAGAACTTAAGAAATGCAAAAAATGTAAGGGTCATGTAAAGAACTTACTCTTTCGTGGCAGAGGACTTCTGTTTGGAGCGTACATTCCTTTTATGAATTCATAATCAACTTTGACTTTTTGGCTTTGCCATTTGATGGGGGCTGGCTTGGTTATCAAGTCTAAGAAATGTCCAAGGAGAATGAGCTATCATTTCTTGGAAATGTACAATACAACATTAACGACAAAAGTCGGGGCATGAGCTTTTTTTTTCTAATTCAATACTGTAAAGGAAATAAAGGGAGATGTAAAGAATCAACCATAAGAGGACACAGAAAAAATCTGAGCCCCAGATGGGATTCGAACCCACGACCCTCCGTGTTCTAGATCGGATGCTCTAACCTCTGAGCTACTCAGGACTCGCTGGCGAGCAAGGGTCCTTCATGGGTCCTTCATGGGTGAGACAGTTCTTGCTATTAATGTGATTGTGTGATACAGTTAAGCCTTAATGTGTTGCTTGTGATGGACTGTATGACTGCGAGATGCGGTTCGCAAGTCCAACCCACAAAAATGACCCTTGCTCGCCAACGAGTCCTCAGTACCTCAGAGGTTAGAGTATCCGATCTAGAACACGGAGGGTCGTGGGTTCGAATCGCATCTGGGGCTCAGATTTTTTCTGTGTCCTCTTATGGTTGATTCTTTACATCTCCCTTTATTTCCTTTATGATATTAATATCGTCAGTGTCATAGGTTGGTTGGTTGGAGGTTTTTTAATTTAAATATATTTATTGATGATATTAAATATATTTATTGATAATCACGGGGCATGAGCTTAACCAACCTTGCTTTATCAGCTGTTCCAGAGTAAATTATCTGTAGACAAAGACGCGGTTTTTTTGACCGGGTTGGTAAAGGTTATTCTCAGCTTGAGATAGGACAATTAGCTAAAAGGAGACAGTGTGGAGAGTCTCAAAGCAGATTAACGGTATAAAGAGAAGAAAAGGTATTAACAAAGTGCATGCAATTGGCTTTCTGATTAAGAAATAAGTACATAAATACCTGTTACTGGCCGGCAATGTAAAAATTCCCGAGTTTTGGAGGGCCATAAATTGTAGGGGAAAATCCTGAAAACGGGCATTAGGCGGAGAAAACGAAGCTATTAAGACTGAGATTATTATATGGCTTTCTCTCTGTGAAACAAGAGATAGGCGCCAGAAAAAGGATTTTGCAGGCCTCAAAAGTTTTATGAATTTTTTAGAGCAAGCTACAAAGGTTTACAAAAATAAAACTGGAATTAATAAAGCCGGGCCGTAGCTACCTGTACACATGAACGCGCATGTCCAAGTGCCTCAAAGTTACTAAAATCAAATTAAAAACAAACAAACAAATGGGAACTTAAGGCCTTGGCAGAAGGGCTCTTGGTGATGGCTGTAATACAAGCACATTCGTTAAGCAAACAAGGAATGACTCAACGGCACAATAATTAATAAATGATAAATGGAATTAATTTCATAAAGGCGACATACCTTTTTCTACAGTGTCATTACATTTTAGTTTTGTATTTCGAAATACGATCGATCAAACACACCATAATCGCTATAACTTTGTCAATAGCTGAGGCAACGTTTTAAATCAAATCCGTTTCCTGGTTGTAGTAAAGCAAGCTTATCTTCTATCTATATAAGTAAAAAAGGGAAAGACGGAAACCGAAGGGAACTTAGTAAAGTTTTGTACGGAAGGCTCTGCCCCGAGGTCCAGCCCCTATTTTTTATAAACCATTTTTGACAGAAAAAAGGTACTTCTTTCCTAAACCTTCTTTTGACAACTGCAGTTAATAGTGCCCCTTTCACATCTCTTGTTGAAAAACGTTGCAATTCTTATAACTGCTGCAAATGCACTTTTTTTAAATATGAATAAATCACAAAAACAGAACATTTTCTCTCCTTTTACACCGCTATAAAATGCATCTGTTTTCACTTTTGAGCCTTTTTACAGACCGAAATGACAGATTTCTACCATTACTTATATTTCAACCAATGAAATTCCTACCCTTTTATAAACCCGCCTGAAAAAGATACCCCTTCCGGTGGAGCCTTCCCGTATAGACCATTATAGGGAGTCCCCCCACCCCCTGGAGAGGAATGTTGCAATTGAAATCTTACCAGACCACCAACCACGATTTTAAAAGTATCTCAATGATAATTCATGCTGACTGCATTTAACACCTTGCATCGCTACTTCAGTATGAGATAGCCTTCCTTGCGTACACACAGTGAAAGTTGCATTGTCGGCATTCCGCAGCATCAGTTCGTAAAACAGTGAAGACAGACCTACTGTACTGATGATCGAAACAGGCCAGAGTTTTTTTTTTTTTTTTTATCTAAGCTTAGGTCAAGTCACAAGACCCAGAATGACTGTCACAGGCGTCTAGCCAAGGGCCAAATAACCACAAATTTAATGTCTTGCGATTATTACAGCACGTGCTATACCAGCGACTGAGTCCAACAAAGCTTGTGAATTGACTTATAAGAAAAACCTCCCATAATCCCTTTTTGCTTCCTATGTTCGTACTTATGCCGATTAGCTTGAAATATCAGAGGCGCAAATTCGGTTGTTAGTGCCTCGATATATTATGTACGACAAACTCATTTATACTTCTGCGACAGGAGGCATTATCGCTCAAATCAGGTTCAGTGTCCGAATTTGAACCTACTGGGCTAGAGAAAACTTGTAACTATACTGAAGGGCTATGCAGAAATAGAAATGGAATTTTAAAAATTCTTGGGACTACCGAAAGATTTCATCCAATTATAATTATAACATAAGTTGGGCAAAACGTAATCCTGTCTGGCTAGTGTTTTTTTTTTTGGTCAATAAAACTAAAACAAGCACTTAATGTTTCACTTTGTTTGGTTAAGTTCAATCATTCTATACATTGTAGCTTTATAACTAGGAGCATTGCGACCTCCACCCGGAAACGAAAAAAGTGTGTAAGAGTTAGAAGCGTTCACCTTTCTAAGCTTTGGTTACTACTACGATTAAAATGATCTACAGAGAAAAGTCGTCAGCATTTTGTTCCGTGACTAACGTAAAAACAAAGGCACGCAAAAAGGGAAAAATGCAAATATTAGTGGTAATAAATTAAATTATCTAAAAAGCTTTAACTAAGTTCGTTCTGAAGGCCTGAATAACTATAGGATAATCAGTTTGATCTTGTTAGGCTTAAAAAGACGACCCTTCACAAATTCGAGCGCAGAAAGTTCTAAAGAAGTAACATTATGTGGCCCTCTGGAACCAACCCTTTCGACGGAAGTATTTCACTTTGCGTGGGCACATCATCTGAGCTCACCTATTGACTCTCTGATGTCAGGTGCGGTTGTATGTTTGTTTGTTTTTTGCGTTACCTTTGTATGCAATTGGTTCCCAGAAAACCCCAACCCTCCCTTTTCATATATGGATTCTTGACCGCGCAGAAGCCAAAATTCCTTCTGATGAAAAATATCATTGTAAATGAGAGGCTTGAAATTCATAAAAAGTAGAGTGGTATTGAGTTAGACCTTTGGAGAGGACCGAAAACTGGCCGAATGTAAATCATTCTCTCTTCGGACACAGCCGGAACTTTGGTAATTTCCATCGCCAACACCTTATGCTATAAACGTTTTGGTCTAGAGCCCTGCTGCCCAATTCCATTTTTTGGGGGGATGGGTAGGGAAGATGGGGGCGGGGGAAGGGAATTGTAACACAAAATCTGGCCACGCTTTTGTCAATCAAAGTAAAACGAAACGAAAAATGTCGTCTCCCCAGAGATGGTTTAATTCTAGTGGTATGGAAAAGCCCAAGTTTTTTGAAACACCCTGACTCTCGCCTTCGAAGAGTTTAATCACATTTCACTACCGTATTACCTTTACTTTTAATTACTCTGTTATATATAACGTTATTAATAAGCTATTCTTAATTTGGCTGCAAAAGGGAGTTGATGAGGGTTAAGTCATTTTTGTCAAAAACACCGAGTTTAAAAAATCATTAAATCCTTGACTGGAATTTGTCCTTTATTTTTGGGGATTGAGTGTTTTCGTCTAGATTTTAACAGCTTTTGTCATTGGCCTAATGTAGGAGAAGACCACTGATGTGCTGGTTTGATAAGAATAACTGGAACGATAGAAACCCTAAGCGACTGGTGCAAAGATCTTCAAAAAAGGTGGGTCCATAGAATAGTTACCCCAAACCTTAAGGCAACTCTTGGTACAAATTCATATGAAAATACACGCGCTTATTTTTGTAAATTTAGTTTTTCGGTGAAATGACTGGCCCTCTTTAAAAATAGGTCAAACCTAAATCGAAAAATATTTCCTCCGATATATATCCATTTTTTTAATTTAAAAAATGTAAGGTTTTTATAGTGCGTGAAACAACACAAAGCATAACACAGCGACCAAAAGAAAAGAAAAAAGGTATTGTAACCCATTGTTCAAACGAAATGATTGTGTTCTGCCTGTGAATTTCTCCACACTCTCGAACATAACCAATTAGACGCTGACTGACCAATTCGATAAAGATCGATAAAACACGGGCCACCGATTAAGACCGGTATTTAAGGGCTGAGTGAAAGATCAAGAGCCCACGTTAGCCTTAAAGCCGAATGCCAAAGTAGTAAAACGTGGAATTTTGGTTGCCCCTTTGTAACCTGTAATAGTTCGAGGGTATACAGGGATAGATATAGATATAGATAAGCCAAACGTACAGGGAAAGGAATAGGCCACTCCTTTCATTACCTCCTCGGTAAGATAGATGTCGATCACATACAATATCGCATTTCTGAACCGAAACGTCAAGAGTATAGTCGAGACAATTTTAATCTCCCACACAGCACCGCTGTTCTTTGTGT